CCTGACTTATTTCGCTCAGCATAACACCCTCAAGGTCCATCCATGTTGCTACACATGGCCAGATTTCAATGTTTCTCATTGCCATGTAGTATTCCATGGTATAGATAAACCACATCTTCTTGAACCATTCGTCAGTTGATGGACACATAGGCTCTTTCCATGTTTTAGTTATTGTTGAGAGTGCTGCTATGAACCTTGGGGTTCATGTGCTCCTATGCCTCAGCATTTCTGTATCCCTTGGGTAAATTCCTAGCAGTGCTATTGCTGGGTCATAGGGGAGTTCTATTATTAGTTTCCTGAGGAACCTCCACACTGTTTTCCAGAGGGGCTGAACCAGTTTACATACCCACCAACAGTGAAGGAGAGTGCCCGTTTCTCCACATCCTCGCCAGCATCTAGAGTTCTTTGATTTGCTCATTTTAGCCACTGACTGGCGAGAGGTGGTATCTCAGTGTGGTTTTGATTTGTATTTCCCTGATGAGGAGGGATGCTGAGCATCCTTTCATGTGCTTCTTGGCCATCTGGATGTCCTCTTCGGAGAAGTGTCTGTTCATATCTTCTGCCCATGTCTTCACTGGGTTGTTGGTTTTTCGGGTGTGGAGTTTGATGAGTTCCTTATAGATTCTGGATATTAACCCTTTATCTGATATGTCATTTGCAACTATCTTTTCCCATTCCGTTGGTTGCCTATTAGTTTTGTGGGTTGTTTCCTTTGCTGTGCAGAAGCTTTTAATCTTGATGAGGTCCCAAATATTTATTTTTGCTCTTGATTCTCATGCTTTTGGGGATGTGTTAAGTAAGAAATTGCTGCGGTGGAGGTCAAGGAGGTTGTTTCCTGCTGCAAAAACACTCTTATAAGCAGTAATGTTCCAAGAAATGTTAAAAAAAATTTTTTTGTTTTTATTTATTTCTGAGAGAGAGAGAGAGAGAGAGCATGAGTGGGGGAGTGTCAGAGAGAGGGAGACACAGAATCTGAAGTAGGCTCCAGGCTCTGAGCTAGCTGTCAGCACAGAGCCCAACGCGGGGCTTGAACTCACAAACCGTGAGATCATGACCTGAACCGAAGTTGGATGCCCAACCGAGCCACCCAGGCACCCCCCAAAATTTTTTTAATTTATTTTTGAGAAAGCGCAAATGGGGGAGGGGTATAGAGGAGGGGACATAGGATCCGAAGCTGGCTTTGTGCGGCCAGCAGGAAGCCTGATGTGGGGCTTGAACTCACGAACTTGGATTTCATGAGATCACGACCTGAGCCAAAGCCAGATACTCAACTTGGGGTGCCTGGGTGGCTCAGTCTAGTGTCTGACTCTTGGTTTCAGCTCAGGTCATGATCTCATGGTTTGTGAGTTTGAGCCCCATGTCTGGCTCTGTGCTGACAGTGTAGAGCCTGCTTGGGATTCTCTCTCTCTCTCTCTCTCTCTCTCTCTCTCTCTCTCCCTGCTCACTCTATCTCTCTCTCTCTCAAAAATAGATAAATAAACTTAAAAAAAAAAAAGACATTCAACTGACTGAGCCACCCAGGTTTTCCTCCAAGAATCTGTTTCAGAGAAGTAATCCAAACTGCAGGTAACAATGTAAGCACAAAAGTGTTTATCATATTGTTTATATAATGTATACAGTCCTAGGATGTCTGGCCTCCTGAAAAGGACCTCTCTGCCCCCAGAGGTAGTCATTAAATAACTGTTCCATCCCCACTTGCCTAGACATTTAACAATATATTGGAGTCAGCCAAATGACAATATATAGGGTCAGCTAAAACACGTTGCTTACTCTAATGGTAATTAATTGATTACTAACAAAGACCCACAGAGACAGAGACCTAAAATGTTTGTTTTCTCACTCCCTAGCCTTCTCCCTCCACTGATGTAGGGATGTTCGGTTCTTGTCTTTCTTTGGCCTTTTTCTTTTTGGGTCCAGTGGTGTGGTAAGTGCTGGTTTAACAACCAACGCTCTGGGGGGAGAACTGTACTGATCAGGAGCCCTGATTTATGCCATTTACCAATACCACCATGGTCAGTGTCAAAGCACCAATACGGTATTACTGCACAGAGTGGGGAAGGATCAGCTCTTGAAAGCTGGCATGAGCTGGCTCTAACTACCACTAGCTGAGGCCACTGTTGGAGAAGTTTCACAAGAGTATCGCGGGGCCTCTAGTTCTGTCATCCTCTCAAGTTAACCAGAATCTTCCTATTGTCCAGGCAGGGGACACACTCAGGAGGCTGGAATTCGACGTGTTCAATCTAGTCTCACACCAAGTCCTAAAACCATCATCTTTTCCTTCTGAACCTCCAGAGGCCAATGCTACCCGACTGGATTGTCTACACTAATGGTGATTTAAAGATCGTCTTCCTGAGGTGCCTGGGTGGCTCAGGCAGTTAAGCATCCGACTGCCTCAGGTCATGATCTCCTAATTTGTGGGTTTGAGCCCTGGAGCCTGCTTCAGATTCTGTGTCTCCCCCCACCGCCCTCTCCCTCTCTCTGTCCCTACCCCTGCTTGTGCTCTCTCTCTCTCTCAAACATATAAACCTTAAACAACAACAAAAGATCCTTCTCCTGTCTCTCCTTGTAATCTGGCTTCCATCAGATCCCCTTATCTGTCTGTAGTGTCTGGACCCCAATTACGGACACAAGTCAGGGATTTTCCCACGGTCTTGGGACACATTCAGATGCCAATTAAGCATGGCTGTCTAACTTGGGTTCCGAGGAAGAGGGACAGCACACAACCAAACTCCACATGGAGGATGCTGGGATCCACCCTTCTTCCCCCGCTTCAGCCTGTAGCAGTCTTTACCCTTATGGAGTAGTACTTCCTGGGGAGAGCAGCAGGAAATCTTTCACCTGGACGCCCACTTGTACCTCTCCCAGCTCAGCTCCTGGGGGCCAGTCTTCCCATGCACAGCACTGGACCCAAGTGGGTGTTCTCTCCTGGGAGGGCATGTACCGGGAGCTATCCCCAAGGGGATTTCTCCATCCCCTCCTTCGAAGCCCAACTCTATGAGTCCACCAATTTCCCCTGGTCCTGGTATCCCCCCTTCGGCCTCTTCAGAGGCTCAGAAGCATCAAAGCCATGGACGGGCTTGGTTCCCCAATCTAAGAATTAGGGTTAGGATGTGATAATTACCCCTTGCTTCCTTCATCAGGGTGCAAGTGGCCACCTTGGAAGGGCCTTTCCTTTCTTGTCCTGAAACCTTATCCTGCACCCAGGAAAGGGAATTTATACACTAACTTTGGGTGTGGCAACCACCCCAGCAGGCCTGCAATGAGTGGGGCAGGGGGTGGGGAGCGTTTGGAAATGCTGATTCCTACAGCTTCTGGGATCACATTTTTGAGCCTGAGGTTGGTGTTCATGACTCAATGCTGATGGAAGCTGATGCTGGGACCACCTGGGGGACCTGGGCAGCACACAGGGTGTGGGTCCTTAGATCCCCATCCTACCACCTAATTGCTGCCATAGGTAAGAAGCGGATTTTTTTTTTTTGTTTTATTTCTAGGAGAGAGAGAGAGAGACAGCATGAGCAGGGGAGGGTCAGAGAGAGAGGGAGTCACAGACTGAAACAGGCTCCAGGCTCTGAGCTGGCAGTCAGCACAGAGCCCGACGCGGGGCTCGAACCCACGAACCGCGAGATCATGACCTAAGCGAAAGTCGGACGCTTAACCGACTAAGCCACCCAGGCGCCTCAAGAAGTGGACTTTCTGTGAACAGTCCTTAGTATCTTAATGCTTTCAAAGGTTTCTACCCAGGCCGTCAATGTTTTCTAAGTGCAGCATAGCATAGAGTAGGGATGCAATACATGTTTATAGAACGAGTGAATGACACTGTGCATAGTGCTTACATTTCTCCGAGATTGACCTGAGAACCAGTGTGAATTGTTGGTGGCTTTTTGTTTGTTTTGAAAGAGGGGGAGAGAGAGAGAGCGAGCGAGCAAGCATGAGCAGAAAGGGAGAGAGTGAGAGAATCCCAAGCAGGCTTGAGTGCCATCAGTGAGGAGCCCCACTTGGGGCTTGACCCCACAAACCGTGAGATCATGACCTGAGACAAAATCAAGAGTCAGACGTGCAACTGACTAAGCCACCCCTATTGTTTTTAAATAAGCTCCACACCCAATACTGGGCTTGAACTCACCACCCTGAGACTGAGTTGCATACTCTACGGACTTGTGCCAGCCAGGCACCCCTGTTGGTGCATTTCTTAAGTAAAAGCCTGAGGACCCTGGAACATTTGTACATTCTAGTAAAACTTTTTTGAGTCTTTCCCTATGTAAGTCATCCCTTGTTGCAAGATGAAAAATTTTTAAAGCTGTTAGAGACAATTAGCAAAACTCCTCAAAATGTTATTTTACCAAAATAACAGTATCTTCGGAATATAATCACAGCATCACCATAATCTGTAGTTCAACTCAGTTGATTTTTTTTCTTTTCTTAGTGAGAGCAGTTCAAAAATTTCTCAAAACTTTTGGCTGGAATTTATTTTAAATTAGATGCAGGGGGAAAAAAAACCTTCTATGTGCAGAATGCAAATAATGTATTCCCAGTATGAAAACATCTATAAAAATACTTCTCTAAATATATCCTCCTGGAAATGGTCAAAATGGAGATGCCAGGAGGCCTTTACCACCTCCCTCAGACACGACTAGAAACATCTGCCATCCTTCTTTCTTCCCTTTCTTTTACTTACTTTTTAAGTTTCTGTTTTCTGTACACTACAAAAGGCCAGTAGGAAGCTGAAATCTGCCCATGTTACTTGGCCACAGAGAAAGGCCTCTTCAGACCCCTGCAACCGATGGGCAATTTTCAGGAACAGGAACACCTATTATGAACCAAATGTTTTCCACAACTTCTAAGCGAACCACTAATCTACTGGGAGCAACTTGGCTCTCTTGGTTCTATGGAGGCTCAAATGAAAGAGAATTCTTCCGAAGTCACAGCCTAGCAACAAGGACAAACAGGACTTCATAAATGTTGGACCCAGGAATCACTGCAACACTTTCTCTTGACAACTTAGATTTTTAATAATCTTTATTGCCTTTCTGATTTAAATCATAGAATATATTCATTACAAAACTTGAAAGTCACATAGGCACAAAAGAAAATACAGACTATGTGCGTGTATATATATATATATATATATATCTCCACTTTTATCACGAAAATTTTCAGAGAAAAGCTGGGAAAGTACAATGAACAATGTATACAGGCTCCACCTAGATTCAATAAATGTTAATTCTACCCTTTTCTTTCTCCATTATATATTTTGCTGGACCATTTAAAAGTTGTTATGAAGTTTCATTTCATTCCTAATATTCCAAAAATAAGGACAGTAGCCTCCGTAGGTACATTATCCATCATACCTAAGAAAATAATTCCAATATCACTTTATTCCATTTCCAAATTTCCAATTGTCACAAGACTTGTTAAAGTCATTTATTTTGCACTTGAGTTCTGGAACATCCACATTCTGTAGCTGTCCCCTAATGTTGTTTAGTTTGTTCCTCTAGCCCCTCTATTTCCTGTCAGTGGGAAGTTAGGTCTCGATGGTGGAATAGGTTCAGGCTAACATGTTACTTTGCCCAGGCGCTGTTGTACTCCTCCCATCCTCTCACTAGGAAGCACACATCAAGCTGTCCCTTTATTGGTGACACGTTTGAATACAGGATTACAACAGTGACAGATCAGTCCACTACCAAAGGCTGACTTTTTCCTTTTGCAAGTTTTATCTGTGTAGCAACATTTGAGCACCGTGTAAAGATTCTGCTCTTCAACAGCCTTTTACTGAAGGTTCTGGCACCCACTGACATCCACCTGATTGGTTATTTCATGAAGGGGTCAGGCTCTATATTAAAACGCGGAATCTTCTCATACATGCCAAGTATGCAGACTGATCTTTGAGACAATACACTACATAGATAAACGTGAGTCACCAGACTGTTCCCATAAAGGCTGGAAGATGGTTTGTCAAACTGTATTTCAGGATAGAGCTGCTGGGGAAAGACCCTTGACAAGCTCTCTGTCTGGCCCCCCAGATGAGAAGACAAACTCCTGGGAATATCATGAATACAAGGCCAAATCTAAAGTGGATCCATGCTCCAGGTACGTGGAGGCAGCTTGGATCTGCTTAGTCTACTTGGGCAAGACCCCTGTATTGGACCTGCCTTATTGACCCAGATTTTATAGAAACAGGTAGAAAGGGGACAGAATATGCTGGAAAAGGTAGTAAAGGAGTTGTTGTAGAGATAAAATCCACTGGTCTCCCCAGACAGAAGCCGATCTCTACAGATCTCTACTGGTACATTGCCATGTACATTAAAATGGAAAAGACTAAACATATAGAAAATGCTGAAAACACATGAGCAGCTCAGTCTAAAGGGGCAGGGTGAGTTTAGGAATGGAATTTCAAAACTGACCATGATCACCAGTGACCAATCAGTTAACTGAAACATTTCTAAGAGGTGGTATTCTAGAATATTTCATTATTATCTGTATTGTTATATTTTGAGATTGTCTTTTTTGTGGAAGAAAATGGAACATCTTCTAAAAATCTAAAGACAGAGTGAACCTCACAGACTCATATAGTTGTAGGTGGGGATGCAGCTTGCTCACTGCTGTACTGAAGGCTGGAGGTCAGTCCATCTTGCAGGCATCAAGTGGCACGCTCCTGAGGGCTGAGTCTCATTCAAGATGATTTTCTGAAGGCTTTGATTACATTCTGAATTTACAAATGATACAAAACAAGGGGTAAGAATTAATAAGCTAGATGGCAGAATAAGAATCATACAAAGGGGAATAAAACAATGAATTATCAACTTGAGATATGAATGGACTACGGTCACCCACCAATGGCCAAGGTACAGAATGGGGGAAAACAGCTTCAGGGGTTTCTGTTATCTGAACTCAAGGCACATCTGTGTGAAGACAGTACACTAAGGGCCAAGATCCTCTAAGGTCCTGATCCGTCTAGTGCTGCTCTGGCCACATTTATAGGCTGGAGTTAGGCCCTAAATGGTACACTCAAGAAGAGATTCTGATGAATCAGGGGGGTGGGGGCTAGGGTTGGGGGGGCAACCCAGGGAAGACTGCAGAATGAAGACGACTCTCCCCTGCTCTGGAATCTCAAAGCCAAAGTTCTAGGTTACTGGGGCTGGGCAAAGATCACTTAAATGAATTCTCAAAAGGGCAGCTGTTTACAATCTAAACTTAAAAAGCAACACTGCCATTAAAAGTTTTAGTTTAGAAAGTACTCATCTATGGCAAACTGTGGAGATCTTTAACCTTCACACCCACTAGGAGTTTTTAGAAAGGAAGGATTTTGCATGCCTGCAGTAGTATATAAACCCAATAAGGCAGCAGAAACGTGAACTCTGCAGGCACGGATAACAAGTATGCAGATGCCATTTATTTGGTCCATAAGTACAGTGTAGTTGTATTTGAGTTCTACAAAACACCAAATATAAATAACCTGAAACTGTAACAATACACAAAAATCGGCTTCTTACATAGACATACCAGGCAGTACAAGCTGAAAACTTGAGTAAATTAACATTGTTTTACATTAATATACATAGTGCCAGTTAACATTTAAAAACAAGTTTCAATGCATAGCACGTGATACTTCTTTGAATCTGTTTCAGTCAGTTAAGAGTATGAAAATGGTTAGATCTAGGCTAAAAATAATTCTTCTTCTAACCAAAAATAAAGGCATAATATTTATAACCAGGTATCAACTTTACTAAACCACAATATTTTAAAACTGTTAAATGATACCTAAGGGTATTTACATTAAAAAGGCAACATGCATTGTGTTGTTTTCTCATGACTGGTTATGCACACACTTTGTTCAAAGGGCTTTAAAACTATAATCCTACTTTCAACACAGCATACCGCAATGTTTCTAATTGTTCTAGCAAAATGAATGCTTTCAAAGGGAGCAGAATCATCTTCAAGTCACTGGTGTCAATTTTTTCCCTTTGGAACAAAGGACATAACAAATAACCTGGCTCTGCCCAGATGACCTACTGCAGATAAGAAGGTTCTGTTTAGAGGCTTTTCTGTTCAATCTAATGCTATAACATCATCAAGTTCTTCCGTCTGTTCTGTGCGTGACCTCTTTGCACTGATACTCTCTTTCTCATCTAATTTCCTCTTGCGACTTCTCTCTTCTTCGCCGATGTCAGCATTATTTGAAGGACCTTCTTCATCTGAATCAACTATGAGCACATCATCTTGCTCTTGTGCTTATTTCAGGAAAAAAGGAAAAAATGGTTAAAAGTGTGGGCGTTACTAGTGATTCACTAATATTTTATGAAAGTGAAAAGCTGGCATTTCTAATATACACCAAACTTAAGAATGGCTACCCTTAGGGAACCTTCACTTTATACATTTCTGTACTGTTTTAATGTTTTCTGTAACAAGAACCTATTTGTTTTCTAATCTAAACAAAAAACTGTAACAAGCATTTTATAACTCAAATTATTATAGTTCTTTGTTTCTATTTCTCCAACAAAAAAGGGGAGGGTGGATATCCTAATACTGGTAGCGGTGGTAATAATAATAAAACAACAACAACAACAACATATATATAGCACTTACAAGGTGCCAGGAACTGTTCTGAGCACTTTGCATATAACAACTCATTTAATCATCACAACAACCCTATAAAGAAGATAACAATATTATCCGTTTTCTAGAAAAGGAAACTGAGGTACAGAGATTGACTTGCCCAAGGCCACACAATACCAAGAGTTGAGGCCAGGATTCATACCCACACAGTGGGCTCTATAGTGCATGCTCTTAACCTTACACTACAGTTGGTTTTGTGTACCACCCCCCATCCCACCCCTGCCAAACCAAAGGCAGAGTACCTGCCTATCTTACTCATGACTAGGGCCTCCCAAACCTCATGGTAAGGGATCAATCAATGCATTTCTCAAATTAGGATTTTTAAAAAAACTACCCCAGTCCCTTCCTCATAGGAGGATGATAGACTTTTCCATTTTTGGAGAGGAAAAAAGGTCATGAACCCATGGCTCACAGGTGGGCCATGCTCTAGCCAGTCTCAAGTTCATCTTTAAAATTCTCAGAGAACATGAGAACCAAAACAACCACATTCTAAAGAACACCAAAAACATGGAGTTAAAGAAATGGAAACAGAAGTTAAAAAAAAGTTAACTTTAGTTTCCTGCCTAAAAAAAGAAAGGAGGAGGGTTGTAGGATGTGAGTAGGTAATAAACATCCAAATCTGAGTACAGTAAACAACCAAGCACTAGCACTGAAAAACCAGGGAAACAGAGCCTCTGATGCACTTTACCAAAGTCATACCGGTTCTCAGAAAACTGTGGAATTCTAAATCTCAACACTTACAGAGCATCTGTTCACTCAAAATAGTGAGATGCATTGATTTGTTTCCCCTAAATGAAACAGGCATACAAAATCCAAAACTACTACTACTAAGAATGAACTGTCTCTGTGCACTAGTAAACTCACTGACACTTCTAGTTTTAAAAACCCACTAACAAAAAATATACATTCAAAGCTCCATTAAAACAACCAATGCCAAAACCTTTAACAGATTTTTATTTTATTGTTGAATTCATAAAATACTCAGTTTGTTTCTATATACTGTCTTGCTTGGTGGGTAGTTAACAAACTCCTGGCCGGCTAGGGCCATGACTCACCAGTGGATGTGGAAGGCTGAGCTCCGTCGTCACTGCCATTGGTTATGCTTTTGGCAGCATCTTCAGCCTGTTTGGGCCCCACTTTTTCTGGGGCATCACCAACAACTTCAAATTCAACATCCTTCCCTAGGTCCTCACTGTAAAATAATCACACACTATAAAACTGGAGCCCATGACTATTTACAACAGCAAAAGCGTACCAGAGACACTGCTCCTCAAAGCTCTAAGTGCATTTATGATGTATACACCAAATATACAGATGCTGATCTTCAAAAAGCTAAAAATAACACTGCACATAACAAATTTTGTTGATACTTCAACTCAAAGTATACTTCAAGTGCTCAATACCAATGACCCTTCAAGTCAGGAAAAAGGTTTTTTTACAAAAAATGTTACATAATTTCTACTTCTAGAGCAGAAAACGGAGTCCAAAACTTTGGGGCCCAATGTTGCTCCTAGGCATTATTTCTTCAGCCAACAGGTGAATAGTCTATACACTCTAACCTGATCTTGACCAAAGTAACTTGAAGTGTAAGGAACAGGGTCACACGAACTCTGCGTCTCTCCCCTGCCAATCTTTACCGACAGTACCCTGATTTTGCAACGCATTTGCAAAAACAAGTATGAAAGTTTAATACATGATTGTCAAACAAAAGACTTACATGTTATAAGGGGGGAGGGTTTTGTTCCCAGAGAGCTAAAAAATAGGATAAAAAAACCACCCTAATCATGCCATCTCTTTAAACACCATCTGATATATTTCCATTTTACTGTAGATCTACTTTGTTTTTTCTTATACATTTGAATACGAGCACACCACTGACGTCCAATAGTGTCTAAGTGAGGCTAGGGATCATTCCCTAGCAAAAACTTTTACTCAATGGTCTAACTTTGTGAAACTTACACTCCTTACTAATAACTCACATTCAGTCTTCCCTGTCATTTTATGCTTCTTATAAACCTAGTATATAAAATGTGATATTCTCCAAACAACTACACAAATTGTATGTTTGTAGAGAGATGGAAATACTGGCAAAAGAATTAGATGCACACAGCAACCCTTCACGTTTGTTAGGTGATGCCCTAAAGTCCCAAGTTGATGTGCAATTTAGATGTGTCAATAAGCATGTACAAAAGTGCACTCTGACAGGTAAACACACCAAAGTGGAGGACCATCTGTATTTTAACTGTGTTATACACAAGAAAATACTCTATAAAGCATTTTGAAGTTTTTTTTTTTAATAAAATGGGCAGAACACTAAAAAACAAATCATGATTCAAAAATCTATAAAGGATAATTTTTTTCATTATCTCATTGTTAAAGATCACAAAATTTTTGTTTTATGAGGGAAATATTTCTTCCCTTCTTCTAATGAATCTTTACAATGGTTGAAATTTTTACTTTAGTTATCAAAATGAACTCACCTCTGATTAGAACTGTTTAAATGCCTGGATTTCTACCTTTTCTAAGTCTTTCTGATCAGACACCACTGGTGACAGTTACCCATTAGCATATTTTGCCTATCCACTTTGGAATTCCCCACGTTTCTCTGCAGGTCAAGCCTCAAAGGAACTTAGTAGCCAACTCAAGAAAATATACTTGTGTGGTTTCAAGTGAACAGCAGGGCTTAAGGGTAAGAAAACATCTTTTTTAAATATTCAAATAATTTCTTACACCTAAAATATTAATAGTTCCCACCTATGAAGGATGTTGATCAATAAAGTGTAGTCCTGAAGGAAATCGTCTGCTTGAAGCCGGCTCCCATTTCTAATTCCAAATTCGGACAGCTTTTTATGATTGTTAGCTAAGAAATTGGAAAGGAATTTAGATACTAAAGTTATATTTCCACGGAGCAGTCACATTAGTTTAAAAAAGGTTAATCCCCCTCTATAAGCTCTCATACACACTCTCTCTCAAAACATAAAAACCCTTAATAGCCTTCAATTACCTTTCCTACCCTAACAGCCAAAGCAATCTTCTCATTACTAATTTAGCTTCCAGGACCCAGGCAAGGACGTTCCTTGTTAGTGGACTAGAGCATCATGGTCACAGTAAACATAACTGTACACTGGGATCTTGAGAAATAGTCCCTGAGACACCCTGGCAATATGGAAGTCCCCAAACCTGGAACTGTAGTGATCCAGCAAGGCAATGCCACCTTGGGAGCGCACTTCCATGACCAAACCTTGCCCCTTTCAGCTGTGATACTGAGTAATACGCACAGTCAACGGACAAACTCATGTTACTTCTTCATGTATACAGTTTCTACCCAAATGAGGAGAGTGAATAAATGGAACGCATAATACTTTCTGTTTCTCCCTCTTCTGAAGATATTAGGATTGTTCCTTTCCCATCTTCAATTTGGACATCTGGTGCTACCATAGCAAATTTTTCTTTCACGATCTAGAAGACAAAAAATTTCAAAATATTAATAGAGATAGTTAAAGACCATTTAAAAAAAACATTTTTTCCCATACTTTCCCCTTCCATTGGAAAGGGGGCAAGTTGTTCTTTAAAACAGCCAGGACATGAGAAAGCCCTGGAAATTCACCCGCTTACTCCATGCCCATGCTGCCTACCTTCTACTACCATGTGTGACCACTGATAATGTTCCTCCAAACTTCCCCCAAAGGGGAGACTGCAAACTCCTGACTGGCTCTTGGTATTCCCCACAGATTAATACCGAGCTAGACTTTTGACATATTTCATCTTAGTCTCTAAACCACCTGTAGTGGAAGATGTTCTGTAGATGGAAAATTTATTAGAAGATGGATTCTTGGATAGTCTTCCTCTTCCCAAGTTCCAGCTCTCTTTAAATTCCATGATGGATCAAGAGTGATAATAATCTGTGAAATCCTAGATGCTCTAAGAAGCAACAGGTGAAGGGCACCTGGGTGGCTCAGTTAGTTAAGCATCTCACTCTTGATTTTGGCTCAGGTCATGATCTCACCACAGTTCGCTGACAGTGTAGAGTCTGTCTGGAATTCTCTCTGTCCCTTTCTTGGTCCCTCCCCAACTCACTCATGCTCGCTCTCAAAATAAATACATAAACATTAATTTTTTTTTTTTTTTGAGAGACAGACAGAGTGTGAGTAGGGGATGGGCAGAGAGAGGAGACACAGAATCCAAAGCAGGCTCCAGGCTCTGAGCTGTCAGCACAGAGTCCGACGCAGGGCTCGAGCTCACAAACTGTGAGATCATGACCTGAGCCAAAGTCAGCCGCTCAGCTGACTGAGCCACCCAGGCACCCCCAATAATTAAACATTTTAAAAAAATAACAGGGGAATTCTCTAAAGGTCGTATTACTCTACAAATAACGGACTTGCCTTTAAACTAAAAAATGAGTACATACCAGCTACAATTATTTCCTAAGGAAGCAGGTGGGGCAATCACCCTCTGCTGGCCAGTATACCAAATCCTGCTGCTTCTCCATCAAAACAGAAACTCAAATCAACCTGCCCTATGTAATCAATTCTGGGAGAAAGCCAATTCCCTCTCAGGCACCCTGGGCCTCAAAGGTCTATGCCCCCTATGTCATGATAATGATGATCAACATTATCAGAGAGCAATCTGAAATGATCCCCAAAGTAGGAAGTAGCACCCATTCAGGCCATTTTGGAAATCTTCCCAAACACAGAGAAACTAACTTAACCAATTTAGGAGGAACCTAAGGACCATACCACACACTAAACTTCCATTTCCCTCACCCCAGAGCTCCACTGGTATATCCAGGTGCACAAATGCTGCACTTCCTAAGACGCCAACATAACACAACAAAATCAGGACTATCACTAGACCATTTAAGGATACCACCGGTCTGTTAGAAGACACAATTTACACACTATCTGGGAACAGTGTCTCTTGCTTGTCAAGAAACTGTGTCACCTCTGTACAATCTGTGGTGCATATTCCATCCAAATTCATCTATTCTTTTCTGGGATGAGGCACATATTCTGGAACCACAGACCGAAACGTAGTAGAACCCAGACAGTAAAGCAACCTAGAATATCAGGGCAACGCACTTCAGCAGTCAGAGTCTTTCAGAGTAATTATGTGCTTTTGTTATCACACTAAAACTATAAAGCAGAAGGGGCCTAGGTTTGCTGTTTTTTAGGAAAGGAAAATAAACAAGCTTGTGGAAGACAACCAGCCCATACACTTACCTTATCCTGTAATGTGAGAACAGTCACTTTGTGTACGTTCAGCCGAACAGTCACCTCTGGCTTGCTGGCACATACGTAACAGTTAGGGTTAGGAGGATCTAGTGCACAAGGCACCAGAAGCTTCTTTCTCGGGTTTGGTTGTTTATTCAAAAAAATCTTTGGAGAAGAAAAAATACAAGCAGAAACCAAAAATCTTATACTTTTATATATCATACAGTCTGAAGCCTATGGTCTTGTTTACTGCATAGCCAATGAAAATGACTTAAGTAGGGGCACCTGGGTGGCTCACTTCAGCATCTGACTCTTGATTTTGGCTCAGGTCGTGATCTCATGCCTTGTTGAGTTCAAGCTCCGCATTGGGCTTTATGCTGACAGTGAAGTCTGCTTGGGACTGATACTCTCTCCCCCCACCCTATGCTCAGCATGCAATTTCTCAAAATAAACTTAAAAAAAAAAAAAAAAAGACAACAAATATTCCCTTCTAGATGGCAGAAAACATAATGAAAATCATGGCCTTTTTAAGAGCCTGATTTTTCTTTCAACTTTCTATTTTGTAAATTTTTAAAATGTTTTTTATTTATTTTTGAGAGTCAGAGAGACACTGAGAGCAGGGGAGGGCCAGAGAGAGAGGGAGACGAGCTCCAGGCTCTAAGCTAGCTGTCAGCAGAGCCCGATGCAGGGCTCAAACCCAAGAACGGTGAGATCATGACCTGAGCTGAAGTTGGACACGTAACCGACTGACCTACCCAGGCAAGCTCCTCTTTGAACTTTCTTTCCCAATTAGCTACCATGTGAAAGGCTGTGCTTACGGAAAAGAAATCTTGAAGACTCTAAACTATTCTGCAAACTAACTTAGCAAAAATAAGGGCCTAGCTGTACTCATTTCTGATATCATTAAATCACTTTCTGGGTGTCTTCCTAGAGAGTTATTCTTTTTTTTTTTTAATGTTTTTTATTTATTTCTAGGAGAGAGAGAGAGAGAGAGAGAGACAGGGTGAGCAGGGGAGGGTCAGAGAGAGAGGGAGACACAGACTCTGAAACAGGCTCCAGGCTCTGAGCTGGCAGTCAACACAGAGCCCGAGGCGGGGCTCGAACCCACAAACTGCGAGATCATGACCTAAGCGAAAGTGGGACGCTCAACCGACTAAGCCACCCAGGTGCCCTCCCTAGAGAGTTATTCTTATCCATTTGAAGCCAACCTCTCAATAATATATAGCAATATGCTAATTTCTCCAAATAATGTTAACAATTTCACAGATGCATGGAACCAATATGCTGCTTTTCAACTGGTCTCTGATGACTATGACATTTAACATTTATATAAAGACAAGAAAAAAGTAATGTACTTCAGGCAATATTAATACCTATTTATGATTTCCTGAGCATACAAACAAAAAATCAGCCAACGAAAAAGTTAAATATTGCACTGAAATTTTAAAAAGTCCCAACTAAGGGACACCTAGGTGACTCAATTGGTTAAGAGCCTGACTCTTGATTTCAGCTCATGATCTCCTGGTTCATGAGATCAAGTCCTGCATCAGGCTCTGTGCTTACAGTGTGGAGCCTGCTTGAGACGTTCTTTCCCCTGCCTCTATTCATGCACACATGCGCTCTCTCTTGCTTTCTTACTTAAAAAAAAAAAAAAAAAAAAAAAAGGCTCCAACCTCAACCTCATTATTACTACAAAGTTCAGCAAACACTAGCAAATTCAATACAAACCAAAGTCAGAAGAACACTGGAAGCAAATATACAAATTCTTGTTTCATGATGACCATATTAAGTGTGGCACCTGCTAAGATTAAAGGAACCTCATAGATTCCCCAAGCTTAAAATAAATCCTGGGGTGCCTGGATGGCTTAGTTGGAAGACCATGTGACTCTGATCTTAGGGTTGTGAGTTTGAGCCCTATGTTGGGTGTAGAAATTACATTAATAAAAAAAAAGTAAATCTTGTGAGAGGAAGTAGTGCTGGGAGGAGGGCTCCTGTAGCAACGGTATTGCTAGCAGTTTGTCATTGTATTGGCAAGGTAAGAGGCAGGACTCAGTGGGGAGAACAGATTTGTTTGATCTTAGGCTTCCTTAGGAAGGTTAACTATGCTAAGGGAAACTGACAGTAACGAAAACAACTGCTAACCCTATTAATGCCCAGCTAACACTATTATTCCATCTTAAAATTCACTTATAATGTGAACCAAAAAATCCAGACAAAAGCATCACTGGGGCGCCTGGGTGGCTTAGTCGGTTAAGCGTCCGACTTTCGTTTAGGTCATGATCTCGCGGTTCGTGGGTTCGTGCCCCGCGTCGGGCTCTGTGCTGACTGCCAGCTCAGAGCCTGGAGCCTGTTTCAGAGTCTGTATCTCCCTCTCTCTCTGACCCTCCCCTGCTCACCCTGTCTCTCTCTCTCTCCTAGAAATAAATAAAAATATTAAAAAAAAAAAAAAGCATCATTAACTTGATAGGGAAAAAGCAGAGTAGGAAAGAAATGAGGATGTTATAGGAAAGAGTAGACATTTTAAATAAATTCAACAATTAATATTGTTTGTGAACTCAAAGGGATGCATACTGTAGCCACAGAACAAACTCAGGCTGCTGCTACAAGATAGAAATCAAAAATGAAGTTCTTAGGGGCACCTGGGTGGCTCAGTTGGTTAAGCATCCAACTTGGCTCAGGTCATGATCTCAGTCTGTGGGTTCGAGCCCTGCATCAGGCTCTGTGCTGACAGCTCAGAGCCTGGAGCCTACTTCAGATTCTGTGTCTACCTCTCTCTCTCTGCCCCTCCCCGACTCACATTCTGTCTGTCTCTCAAAATAAAATAAAGACATTAAAAAATGAAGTTATTAGAAATTAAAAAATATGAGTTAGAAATTAAACCAAATCAAGATAGCATACTAGCAATGATTCTACATCCCTTCACCCCTAAATTGCATGGAAACAAAAAGGTATTTTAAGAGTGAATCAATTAATAGCACTGAAAAGTATGAGTACCCCTGCAGAGTAGGTAGCTTTTTAGAAATTCCTAAAACCTGGGGCATTCAACTCGATTTTGGCTCAGGTCAGGATTTCGTGGTTCATGAGTTTAAGCCCCACATCAAGCTCTGCACTGAAAGCACGGAGCCTACTTGGGATTCTCTCTTTCCCTGTCTCTCTGCCCATGCCCTGCTTGCACTCTCTCTCTCCCAAAATAAATGAACATTAATACATACATATATATTTTGAAATTCCTAACAATAAATTGGTCTTTTCATTTCGACATCATTATAGTAAAAAGGAGAACCTAAATGAGCAAAACTATTGGCTACAAGTATTTTTAGAAAGTTTTTTAAATCATTAAGCTGGTAAGAATGCAAACCACCTTCAGGCAAACTCAATAAAGTAAAAGCAGGAATCCAAAGAAAGTGAAAGCAAGAATCCAAAGAGAGGGGCGCCAGGGTGGCTTAGTCGGTTAAGCGTCCGACTTTCGCTTAGGTCATGATCTCGCGGTTCATGGGTTCGAGCCCCGCGTCGGGCCCTGTGCTGACTGCCAGCTCAGAGCCTGGAGCCTGTTTCAGTCTGTGACTCCCTCTCTCTCTGACCCTCCCCTGCTCACACTGTCTCTCTCTCTCTCTCTCCTAGAAATAAATAAAAAACATTAAAAAAAATAATAAAATAAAAGATAAATCTAATCCATCCCTCATGCATGTAGGAACTCTTTAACAGAAAACTCCCATAAAGCAAGGACCTGGAAGAGGAGGTGAGTGAAGAAGGAAAAAAATATCTTTCCCACAAAAACAGCAAGAAAAACGATCATGACCTTGTTACTTATGGGAGCGGGGAAATATCTTCCTTCGTGTTTTATTACAATAAGACAGGACTCATGCAGACTGGCAACCTGGATAGAGGAGCTGAAACACTAAAGCTGAGAATTTAAAAGTAGTCCTGGATTGGTAGGATGCCAGGCACCCAGATATAAATAAACACAAATCCTCTCTGAAGCACACCATCAAGAAGTCGTTAAGAATTGTCAGACACAGTTTTAACAATCACTAATATAATTAAAAACAAAACACAAATCATACACAAGCCAACAAAATACTGAGATCTAGCAAAAAGGACAGTAGTTTCACCCATAAAAATTTCAGACATCATCAAAGAACATAAGATAGGTTTAAACCAGACAAGGAGATCGAAAAACATAAACAAAACAAAAACATGAACAAAGGAGAGGACTAGAAAAATGACAAAACAAAATTTAAAAACCACAGAGCACTCTTAGAATTGAAAAAAACTTTATAAGGAACCATACAATGAGTCCTCTAAGACTCATTAATTCAAGATTAGTAATTACTGAATTACTCTTTAAGAATTCAGTAAAACTCTGGAACTGTTAGAAGTAAACTAGCTTCTAAAATAAAATAAGAGAAGCAAATATATTTTCCTTTTTACTGTAATTTCCAGGAAGCTTAAAAATTAGCTCATAAGGAACAACGGTTTTTCTACTGCTTTCATCTATTTTATTGTTTTAATTTTTTAAATTGTTTAACGTGGTTTTTAGAAGTTACTTTTTTCTCCCTAAAATGTAAACTACTATTAAAAAAGAGGTTGGACAAGGGTGCCTGGCTGGCTCAGTTGGTAGAGCATGGGACTCTGAAACTCAGGGTTGGGAGTTCAAGACCCACATTGGATGGAGAGATTACTTGGGCGGGGGGGGGAGACGCTGAATAAACAACGCAAATAGAAATACTCACTGTTTTACACTGGTCTATTTTTCCTGATAAAATCTTCAATCCTTCCAATACTATTAACCCAGCAATCACTGCATTAGTAGTGGCGATAGCAGGAATAATGTTCCCTGCCATTGCTGAAAAACAAAGATTAGTATGTTTAACTGTCAGAAAGGAATAATTTACAATTTTAGGTGATACAACTGAAATACAAAACAACTCACATTTTATATCAAATCTGCTCTTCATATTCATACTGAAAATATGCATCCTGAGGTTTGCAGCAGAGGTGACAAAATCCATTGCAGATGGGTCATCCTGCCAATAATTTAAACAATTTAACAAGTCTTCCCACAGATTTCCTAATTTGGTTATTATCACCATCAAAATAGTACTCTCACATGTCTAAAACACCATACACAGTCAACTAGAACAAGAGATGGCCTAGCAGGAGAAGTCAGTCCTCATAAAGCCTTAGAGTAGCATGGAGAACGGATGAGTTGGGTGCGGGCAGGGTCTCATTATCAACTCCTTGGATCCAGGGATGTAGCCTGACAAGAATGCCAAGGGGAGCCTGGGTAGCTCAGTGGGCTAGGAGTCCAACTCTTGATTTTGGCTCAGGTCATGATCTCCCAGTTCATGGGATCATCAACAGCAGGCTCACAATTAGTGCAGAGCCTGCTTGGGATTCTGTCCCTCCCCCTGCTCACTAGCTCTCTTTCTTGCTTAATAAACAAACATTTAAAAAGAAAAGAATGGGGCGCCTGGGTGGCTTAGTCGGTTAAGCGTCCGACTTTCACTTAGGTCATGATCTCGCGGTTCGTGGGTTCGAGCCCCGCATCGGGCTCTGTGCTGACTGCCAGCTCAGAGCCTGGAGCTTGTTTCAGTCTGTGACTCCCTCTCTCTCTGACCCTCCCCTGCTCACACTGTCTCTCTCTGTCTCCTAGAAATAAATAAAACATTTAAAAAAAAAAAAAAAAGAAAAGAAAAGAATGCCAAGACCCACCAGGCCTCTAGGAACTCAGTCCCACTTAAATGAGTGCAGTGGAGACTAAGTGTATAGACCAGAACACCAATTCCACTCACTGACGATGGCAACACTTTCCCAGGTGCATCAGTCAGTAATGGAAGGTTGTTTGACAACAGACTGTAGGCAAAGAGGTAAAGGCTTTTTAGAGGAAACGGTTTCATTAAAAACTCAAACATCTGGACTATACCTCTTGGCTTTCCCCTCTCCAAATTCTTCATATATATCACTCTCCTATATTTGCTGCTTCTTTTCACATATGGCAATACAACAAATGTTTCCCTTTGACAATTTGTATTCTTCCTGAAATTTTATCTTAGTCTTAAGATTTCAGCAAAGTTTGCTGCTTCAGTAAGAACATAATATCCTAGCCTATAATTCAGAAGCACTAAAGTAGAGAAGAGAAACCACTGAGAGGATGTGAATTCTCTACACACTCTCTGGCTGGCTGACCTCTGGCAAATGAAATTCTTTAACTATTAGGGAAAATTATAGAAATATTTCAAAAGGTTGTGATAAAGAATAAGTATGAATATTTAACAGTAGCCAACACAGTATACACAGGTACTTCCCTAGGCAATATCCATTAGGTGTAGATTTCAATCAAAGGATAACAACTACCAGTTTCACAGTTTCATTATCTAGCCCTGTGTACAGATGAAAACTACCCAAATCACTATTATAATCGTTAACAATGAAAATATATATTTAATAGTTAAATCTTTATACAACATAAACCCAAAAGAATGTTTGCAAGAATCCCAAAAATAAAGTTAGCTTCAGTTTAGTTGTCTAATTCAACCAAAGTTTCAAACTTTGCACAGAATTATCATCTTAGCTTAGTAAAACTGACCAAACTCTTCCCCTTACTGTAACAACTCATGGCAAATCTCTACCATCATAGAAACATAAAAATTTTATCATAGATAAATCACTTGTAGACACAGAAAACAATGATTACAATTAAATTAAAATTAATTCATCAAATTTCAAAATATTACACCTAACCACAAAATACTACTAAATACTATTTTAACTTGTAAGAATAATTACATTTAATTTTTGTATTTAGAGGCCTCAGACCTTTAACTATTTCAACAGAAGAGCAATGTTATTACTTTTTAAGCTCATTAGCTATTGTCTCCAAAGGATTTTATGACTTCTTTTAACATATCTGTATTACAAAAGAAGTTTTTTTAAGTCAGTGAAACATTTTTCTCCAGTAAATTCACATTATTTCTCCAGTCAATAGAATTATAAACCACAAATCCATTATCAGAATCTAAAAATGAAGTTTTATATTACTTGAATTCACATACAGAAAATTCATAGTTCAGTGTAGTAATCAGAGGTGAAAACATCCAAACAAAATCAATACTATGTTCTCAAATTCTGGTAGGGTAAATGATATCCAAAAAATTACTAGTTTCTGGTTACAGTTCAAGAACTAAAATAAGCATGTGATATAGAATTGCCACATATTTTCAAAACGAACCTTGTCCCATATGAGCTCAGCTCCATCCCCCTTTTCTGCTAAATTAACTCTCAAAGTCTCAATGCTCTTTGAAAAAAGACGCGCATAGCTCTTTACATCTAAAACCTGCTGGTCTTTCAGACCTAACTGAGGTTCATTTTGTTGATCTGATGCATTGGTTTCTTCTCCTAAGGGAAAAAAAATATTAGAAATTTCACTATTAAATATCATGTGTTTGTTTTATTTAACAATTTAATGCCTGACCAATGAGAAAGTCAATATGAAACAAATTCTGTTAAAATAATTATCAGGATGCAACAAATATTTGTGGAAGAAAGTGTTAATACTGAGATGGGAAAGTTCCAAGATGGTCTCAGAACGTCACTGGGTTACTGGGGAATTCAAAGATATGCCTAGCACACAGTTAGCACTCAGTAAGTGGAAGCTATCTGAACCTTACTTGAATTTAGTCCATAAAGTCAGATATTCATTACTGTGGAGAACTGCTGACACCCCAAATCTCCTGGGACTCTCTAAGTTTCAGCGTGCTGAAACTTAGCTATTACATAGTTGACCACTGCTATGTAATATAATTCAGATAAGAATGATAACTACTACAATAGTTTTTTTCACATTTAAAATTACAAATACATCCCTATATGAAATCTTAAAGAGATATTCATACAGAGGTACAAAGATACATGTGCGTATTTACTTAGCACAACACTTTATTTCAGGGAAAATATGAAACAAATAAAGGTTAACCAAGTGATTAGTAAACTAGGGGGCACTACTTAAATAATACTGACTGGAAAGAGCAAGCATGAATCTATGAACAGTATGATTCCATTTATTTAAAGTACATACACAGGGGCGCCTGGGTGGCTTAGTCAGTTAAGCGTCCGACTTTCGCTTAGGTCATGATCTCGCGGTTCGTGGATTCGAGCCCCGCGTCGGGCTCTGTGCTGACTGCCAGCTCAGAGCCTGGAGCCTGTTTCAGTCTGTGACTCCCTCACTCTCTGACCCTCCCCTGCTCACGCTGTCTCTCTCTCTCAGAAATAAGTAAACCATTAAAAAAATAAAAAAAATAAAAAAAAAAAAATAAAGTACATACACAAATGTCCTTTGTTTCTATGCACAGAGCAGAACTACAAACACATTCCCTAAATGTTCATAGTGGCTATTTCTCTAGGTGATAAGATTTCCAGCTATCTCCCTTCATCATGTTTCTAAACTTTGAATTTCTTACAATGAAATTCAAGGCATTTAAAGATTTCAGGTAAGAGAATTTCCAATTTAGGTATTCCAGAAACTGAAAAAATTTTTAAAAGTTTATTTATTTAAGTAATCTCTACACCTAATGTGGGGTTTGCAATCACAGCCCTAAGAGATCAAGAGCCACATGCTCTTCTGACTGAGCCAGACAGGGTGCCCCATAAAATATATTCTTTACCTTGACTTTGTACTTCAGCCCAGTCCAATGGAACTGGAGGTTTCCTTTTCCGCCACAGCTTGTCCATTGTCAACAGATACCGGATATCATCTTTAAAAAGCTTAAAAATAAAATAACTTAATTAAATAAAATCCCACAAATCCTATAGCCCCCTATGCTAAAAAAAAATATACCATTATCATTGCTGACTTATTGTACGTATCACACCGTAAAATAGTCTGATTTAAAGTCATGCCCTATACCAACAGATCAATTTCCTAAAGATAAAAAAACCCTCACAAAACTTAAACCTTATATAAAAAAATTTTTTTACACAGAACCTTGCTTTTGAAATAGTGAAGGAAATGCTGAGGGCAACAGAGAAAGGGAACTCTGATCACTGCTCACTGCACCTGTTCTCCCAAGTCACCTCTCCTAGGCACGCCTAAAGCCCCAAAGATCCATTGGAAGCAAAATCACATTAACCAAGGAGCTAAATAAACACGTATCAGCTCCACAAGAATTGAATAAAATTACTGAGCCTAGAGATATCAGTTAACAATACCTTCAACTTTGTGGGTATACAGCAATAAACAAACATTTTAAAAGTACTCAAAACCAGATCTTAACCATCTGTAAAATCTTTGAAATGTGGTCTGTCTCCACACCAAAGCTCATAAATAAAACAATTACTATTTCTACCCACTCCTGAAGCTCAAAACCAATTACTATTTAAAAAATGGTATAAACATTACTGAGAGATATCACATGAATGGCACTACCCTGTGGTAGAATTTCAGATGATTTTTAGTATTTTTACTTTTTCCTTAGTTGTATTTTCTATTGTTAGTTTAGTCAATACATTTATTGTGTCAGCTATTAATTTAAAATTGGCTTAGTAAAAATAATTAAAACTTAGTTCTATCAATATATATTCAATTCTATCAATATTCATTAACTATCCTTAAATCTTTAGAAAAGCAGCCAAATATACAAATAGCTAGAATACAATTTAGAGTGAAAATCACATAGCTTTGAGTACTAGAAGGAACTTTGTCCTAGAGGAATAAGGAAAGAGGTCAAGGAGACAGTAACTTCTGAAATAGGTACACAGATAAGGAAATGAGAAGCTCATTATTATTTGGGTAACAAATGTAGTTAGAGACATGTTGTAGAGGACCTTAAGTGATTGGCTGGAAAGCCTCCCAAGCAATGGGGAATTAGTGTGGTTTTCCAGGAACAAGCTCCAAGGCCATGATCCAATTATTAGATACTGGGAAGCCCTCAGAGTTCTGTTTTAAACCCTCTTCATGCTCTTTTCTCTTTCTATAGGCCTATGAATCCCAGTTTAAACCTCTCTGCTTGCCTTTAGAATCACCTGTCCTTACTCTAATATTCCACAGGAATCTCAAAATTGACTCTACTGTCTTCTGTCCTCTAACCCCTACGCAACCCACCTGCTTCCCACCTTACCAATCTCAGAGAATGGCATCCTGTTCATTCTGCTGCCCAACAGGAAACCAGTTACCATTCTTGTTCTTCACTGTTCCTCACCTTAAATATTCTAAGTCCTGTGGAATCTTTTTCTCCACACTACACTGGGAATACAGATGGGCTGTACTCCGGGTACACCACTGCACAACCCCAGAAGACAACTTCCCATCCTGACTACAGTTGGAACCATCAGGTCGTAGAGTGCACAGCATACTGGCTATATCCTCATAGTGATCCTGTAGAGTACTTTTGAATGGATTCCCAGTGCCCTTGCATAACATCCTTGTCATGACCTAGGAAGTCCTGCCTGATCCAGCCTCGGCTTATGTTTCCAGCTCTCTTCCTGCTTTCCCCTTTAATGAGAACTGTTTCAGTTTTTCAACCTGAGGCTTTCTTTGTGTATGTAGCATTCTTATCCCCATCCCTATTCTTTATAATCTTGGGTTGAAATATCACATCCTCTGGAAAGCCCCTTTTGAACCCTCATACTAGGTCTAATAACGTTAAATAATATGTAGGTTAAGTCTACTTAATATTAAAGGGTTCCAATACATCTGAACTTAGTATCACAACATTCTGAATATATTACTTGTTCAATGTTTAACTTTCCCTTTGAGGTATGAGTTACCTACAAAGAGCTGGGGCCCTATTTTCTGTCTTGTTCACCACCCTATCTCCTGTCAGAGTGGTGACTGGCACATAGCAGATGCTTAGTTACCTACTAAACAGACTGGAGATGTACTTCAGATTATGTTGGCATTCAACTGTTGCTCAAACTGGAATGGAAATAGGTATACATACAGACACCAGCTTAGAAAATTTTGTCATTATCCATTATAAAGTACATTTTAAGCACAATGAAAATCCATTTTCCAAAGAAAAGGCTGTAATGAGGAATTAAATGCAACAGGTTTAAGAGTCAACCAGGAGCACCTGGGTGGCTCAGTCAGTTAAGCGTCCGACTCTTGATTTTAGCTCAGATCATGATCTCACAGTTCATGTGTTTGAGCCCTGCATCTCCCTCCACATTGACAGTGCAGTCTGCTTGGTTCTCTCTCTGCCTCTCCCCCACTTATGCGCTTGGTCTCTCAAAATAAAGAAACTTAAAAAAAAAAAAAAAAAGTCAATCTATGACATCTCTTGCACTGAGGAAAAGAGAGGAAATATAAACCCAAGAGAGTAGTAGCCCATTTATTTAGGACAGCGGGACCTGTGCAAGTTGGAAAGCAGACAGAAAGAGCTAGGAAAGATCAGGATGAAGGAAAGAGAGAAATCACTAAGACTAAGATGAGAAATTAAATCAGCAGAATATAGTGATAAAGAAAAATTTCAGAAGCAGCAAGAAAAAAAGACAGTAACTTACAAGGAAAACTCCATAAGGCTACAAGATTTTTCAGCAGAAACTTTGCAAGCCAGAGGGAGTGACATGATATGCTTAAAGAGTTGAATGGGAAAAATCCACAGCCAAGAATACTAGAGGAAGACTATCGTTCAGAATAGGAGGAGAGATCAAGAGTGTCCAGACAAACCAAATCTAAAGGAGTTCATGACCACTAAATCAGCCCTGTAAGAAGTATTAAAAGGGACTCTGAACGGGAGAGATCAAAAGTGACAGAATGAAAGCAGAAAACACAAAAGCAGTAAAAAAATGAGTATTTCTATAGAAAGCCATGGAACTCAGAAAATAAAAGGTATAAAATATATAACTAAAAGTTGTGGAGAAGTGGCATAAAGAATGGGGTTAAACTTAAACCAACAACTTCAAAAGACTGCTACATGCAGAAGATATATACAAACCTAACGGTATATATCAAAACTAGTAACATGAGATAAAAAAGGATCAGAAAAAATCTTCAGAAACCACAAAAATGAGAAACACATTTGGTGGAATGAACAGCAGGATGGAAGCAGCAGAGGAACACATTAGTTACCTGAAAGAGTAATGGAAAGTAATCAAGCTGAGCAAAAGAGAAAAAAGAATTATGCAAAATGAAAATAGACTTAGAGTACTGAGTGACTCCATTAAACATAATTAATATTTGTATTATAGGAGTCCCAGAAGAGGAGAGAGAAAAGGGGGCAGAAAATGTATCTGAAGAAGTAATAGTTCCCTAATCTGGTGAAGGAAATAGATATTCAGATCCAGGGAAGACAAGAATGCCCATCAAAATCAACAAAAGCAGATCCACACCAAAACATACTGTAAGTAAATTGGCAAGATATAGTGAAAAAGAAGTAGTATAAGACTAAGGTACAGGGGAAGGAAAAGTAGAAGAATTAACCTTTACTCCAAAAGAGAGCTCTCAAGCAGCAGAAGGGAAAAGAATGTGCATGAAGTGGGACACTCTCTGAACAGGTACATTTTGTGGAATGGCTTCAAACCTGTTAATATTTCCTTAATTTATCATCTGCTCAGTGAGGATGTTTAGAGTATACAGGCACTTTAAGAAAAGCCGAGAAATCTTCAAGTGTCCATTATGATAAACTTGCTGGGGAGTAAAGGCAAAAGAAGTAAAAAGACTTTTAAACACAGACACGAAGACCTACCTGGGCTACAATTAGACAGAGCCAATTAAAAGTCCTGTAGATTTCTCTAAAAATATTCAGCAGGCAAATATGTACTAATGAAGAGGGATTCAGCCAAGAACAAGCAGATTAGGGATTGAAGAGCAATTTAGTACATGTCAAATTCCCAGAAGATTTGAGCAGGAAAAGGATAGAAGACAAGAAATAGGAGGACCCAAAGGTCAATTATAAGGAAAACTAAAAAGTTCAGTGAAAGTGAGGGAAGGAAAGCAGACGAGTGTATAAGCGAGCCTCCAATTTTAATTCCTATGAAGATACTGATTTAACATGAGAGCTAAAATTTTAAGACACAATTATCCAGATGACATCAATCAACTTATTAAGATATCATTAAGCATTAAAAGAAGCATATTTCAATTTCATGTACTACTTTAAAACAAAGTAAGTCTATCCATAATTATAAAGAAAACAAACTGAACCTTCGTAAAAAGTTTAACCGGATCATATCCAGTTGATTTAGCCCATTCTTTAGTGGAAATACGTTTAATGTCACCATCTTCGTTAGATGCTCTGGCTCTGGCTTCAGCTTCCATTGGTTCCCCTACAAAACAAACACTATTTCATTTTCAACTGTAATAAATGTAAAGCTAAGCTCTCAGCTACCTTTGGAGAAAAAAGTTATTCACGGAAGTCACCTACACATGACACAATCTGAGTTCAAAGAGAAAGGAAAATAATGTGCTCATCAGCATCTTTTCCTACCTCAGTTTCTGAAGGCCAAATATAGAGCAGTTTAGATTACAAGTATTGACTTGTAATCAGATCTGAAAACAACTCTCAGCTCTACTTACTACATTCGTGAAATTTCTCTGCACCTTGTCTTTAGTAGTAAAACAGGACTACTCACTTATTAAAACACTGTTTCAAAGATGAAAGAATACGGGGTGCCTAAGTGACTCAGTTAAGAGTCTGGCTCTTGATTTCTCAGGTCATGATCTCACTGTTGGTGGCTTCCATCCCCGTGTGGGGCTCTGCATCGACATCAGGGGGCCTGCTTGGGATTCTCTCTCCCTCTTTTTTAAATGTTTATTTATTTTTGAGAGAGAGAGAATGGGGGAGGGGAAAAGAGAAAGGGAGACACAGAATCCAAAGCAGACTCCAGGCTCCGGGCTGTCAGCACAGAGCTGGATGTGGGGTTCAAACTTAAGAACCATGAGATCATGACCTGAGCTGAAGTCGGACGCTTAACCGACTGAGCCGCTCAGGCACCTCTCCCTCTCTCTCTTAAACGTGTAATATACTATCTAACACATAACAGCAATTTTTTTCTCCTCTTATGCTATCAATATTAAGCTAGCAAAATAAAGGTAATGCTCACTAAATAAGAGGACATATCCCAGTCTACTCACAGGAAGCTTCAGGGTCAGCTCTGTCAGGTGATACTTCTTGATCAGCATCTTCTTCCCCAAACAACTGGCTATATAAAAAGAGCAGGAAATATTTATGTACAATAAAATACTATTAACAAATCTTTACTTTTCTTATTTCCCCCCAAAACAACTAATTAAGAATATTCTAAATCTTTAGGAGAAATAAATAATAAATAATTGATAAATTATATTTCATAAACTTAAAAGCATTAAAGCAACCTGTTTAGATAGTTTGAATCCTCATTTCAACCATAACACAAGGCAGGCTAAATTTTGCAGACCTATATTCATTCCTATTATCTTGGCACTGCAAATTCCTACATTTAAATCTTTGATCAAGAGACAGGTGAGCAGGGATGCCTGGGTGGCTAAACGTCCTTTTCTCAAGTACTTGACATATAAGAAAGGTATCTTGTTGGAGGACTCCTTCACAGAATTGGGAAAAAAAGGCAATCATCTCAAAGTTCCTGATACACTTTACGAGTCCACTTGCTTCTGAAAGTCACTGTACCAATTTTCATCCACACAACGGCATGTAAGAGCTCCTATCACTTTGCTTCTTCTCTAATGTCTTGTGAAACTACTGAGTATAAAAAGGTATCTTATTGTGATTTTATTCTTAATTTTCCAAGTTAGTCATAAAATTGAACATATCTTCATTTGCTTATTGCCTATTTGGGTTTCCCTTGAAGGGAAAAGTTCCTGTTCACATTATTTTGTCAGGTTTTCTTTTTCTTACTCATTACAGGAATATGTCCTACAATCATAATTTTTAGTTGACTTTGTGTTGCAAACATTTTCTCATATATAATGTCTTTTCATAAGACATTTAATGAATTTGAATGAGTCAAGGTTTTCTTTTACGGTTAGTACTTTGTCTTGAGAAGTTGTTCCCTAACTCCAAGGCTAAAGATTTCCCCCCTTTATTATAAAGATTTGGTTTTTTCTTTCACATCTAAATACTTAATCCATCTAGATTTAATTTTTATATACTATTTTAAGTAAAGAGTATAATATTTTTCCACATTGATAATGAATTGTCCTACCTTTTACTTAATCCCTTCTTTCATCTGGGATCTCCTATGCAACCTTGGTCATGAGTTCTGCACTGTCCCAATGGTCTGTTTTCCTATCTCTGCACCAGCCACACACTGCAAGTTACTTTTAGCTTTTATTAAACCTTGACACCTTTAGAACAAGTCACCTCAACTTACTCTTCTCCAGGAATGTTTGTTTAGGCCTTATTCTCGACATAAATTTTACAATCAGCTGAATGAATTCTAATAAAAGCCCTGATGAGATTTTAATTGGAATTACATTTGAATCTATAGATCAACTTGGGAGATCAATGACACATTCTTTCCTTTTATACTTCCTTTTATGTTCCAGTACTCACTAGTTTTCCATATTGGGTCTTACAAATCTTAAGATTTATTCTCAGGTATTTCAAGTTTTCTGATGCTTCACATTTAATTACCTTTAATATTTAATTATATGCTTTTATAGTGACTTATCTACTTTTATATTTTCTAACTGCATGATAATGTATATAGACAGAAATGCAGTCTTTTAGTTGGCCATGTTGCTAAACTGTCATTATTTCTAATAATTTGTCTATAGATTCTTTGGAGCTTTTCATGGAGGTAACTATACAGTATGGAAACAACAATGGTTTGTTTTCTTCCTTTCCCAATTCTTAATTCTACATTTTCTTTTTATTATGCTGGCTAGGATCTTCATTACAACACCAAATAGCAGCAGCAGTAATGGCATCCTCATGCCATCTTGGATTACAAAGGAGATGCTTTATAATAATTATCCTTAAAATAATGCTTGCATTAAGCATATGAATGGTAAATAATGGAGGTTTCTGACTATTGGGAATGGGAGTGTGCAGACAAGCAAGGGGAGGAAACTAAAACGATCCACGTAGTAATGGACTAGAGTTCGGAGAGACACCAGTATGAATTCATCTTTAGCTTAATATAGATAGATAGATGGTAAGATACGTTTGTAAATCTGTGTGTATATATATACAGATTAGTATAAAAAGATTTTTTGCTCTGTTGGCTAAGAGGGCCTAAAAGAAATGATACCTAATAGCATGGCAAGCATTATCCGGGTTTCTTTTTTTTTTTTTTAATGTTTTATTTATTTCTAGGAGAGAGAGAGAGACAGCGTGAGCAGGGGAGGGCCAGAGAGAGAGGGAGTCACAGACTCTGAAACAGGCTCCAGGCTCTGAGCTGGCAGTCAGCACAGAGCCCGACGCGGGGCTCGAACCCACGAACCGCGAGATCATGACCTGAGTGAAAGTCGGACGCTTAACCGACTAAGCCACCCAGGCGCCCCGCATTATGCGGGTTTCTAATGCCATTCTTCAATAAAAGGAAACCAGGGCTCCTTGGAGAAAGGCCTGATACGATGGCAGGAAACAGACATGATGAGCCTGGAGCATCTTCTAGTACCAGAAAGCAAAGAATTGCTCCCCAAACCCCACCACACGCTGATGGCAGTATGTCTAAGAGCACAGAGCCAACAGAAAACAGCTCCCAATGGCCAAAGTCAGAACAATCTAAGCAACAAAATACCCTACTGGATTATAACTCTAAGTATAAAATATATTAGGGGCACCTGGGTGGCTTAGTCGGTTAAGCGTCCGACTTTCGCTTGGGTCATGATCTCGCGGTTCGTGGGTTCGAGCCCCGCGTCGGGCTCTGTGCTGACTGCCAGCTCAGAGCCTGGAGCCTGTTTCAGTCTGTGTCTCCCTCTCTCTCTGACCCTCCCCTGCTCACGCTGTCTCTCTCTCTCTCTCCTAGAAATAAATAAAACATTAAAAAAAAATAATAATAAGTATAAAATATATTAAATGAGCCCACATTGATGTAAATGATTGAATAAATCAATAAATGGGTGAGAAGAGACAAACCTAGGCATAAGAACTAGATATACTGCCCTCAAGGAAATAGAACACAGCTCCCATTCCTTAGGTGCGGACTGTATACAGTGACTTCCTTCCAAAGAGCACGGTACAATATAGAAAGTGGGGGTGGGAGGGGCACCTGGGTGGCTCCGTCAGTTAAGTGTCTGACTTAGGCTCAGGTCATGATCTCATGGCTAGTGAGTTCAAGCCCTGCACTGGGCTCTGTGCTGACAGCTCAGAGCCTGGAGCCTGCTTCGGTTTCTGTGTTTCCCTCTCTTTCTGCCCCTTCCCCGCTCACTGTCTCCTCTTTCAAAAATAAATAAACATTAAAAAAGCAAGAAACTTTACAATGGAGAAACCTGACAAACACTACCTTAGCTAAGTGGCCAAGGCTGACATTAACAGTCATAAATCTTATCAATAACATAGCCTTCATAAGATGTGATGAAAATGGCAATTTACCTACCTCTTTGATTTCCCTCTCAATAGCTGAAAATGATAGTATCATGAAAAAAAATTTCAATAGTGGGGCATCCTACAAAATACCCGACCAGTACTCCTCCAGACTATCAAGGTCATCAAAAACGAGGAAAGTCTGAGAAACTGTCACAGCCAAAGGAGGCCTAAAGAGACATGATAGACAACTAATGGTAATATGGTATCCTGGAACAGAAAAGGGACAGTGGGTAAAAACGAAGGACTCTCTAAACTATGAAGGCCAGTTAATAATAAAGTTACTAATAGTGGCTCAATGATTGTTACATGTGTATCATATATGCTAATAGAGAAAACTGGGTGTGGGAACTCTTCTATCTTTCCAATTTTTCTGTAAATCTGAAACCATTCTAAAATCTGTTAAAAAGAAAAAAGTTTGCTAAATAAGGCGTACAAGTATATTTTTTGTGAAATTTCATCGTTATATCATTATTTGTATACGCTTCTGAATGCATATACATTATACCTTAATTAAAAAATAAAGAAAATCAATGTTTGCTTGTTTAATTTAACGAGGCTCCATGCCCAATGTGGGGCTTGAATTCACAACCTGGAGATTAAAGGTCGCATTGCATGCTTTACTGAGCTAGCCAGGCTCCCCGAAAACCAGTGTTTGCCGTAGGTTTGTAAAAGGTATCTTTTATCAGGTTAATAGAAAGTTTTCTTCATATTTTATTAACAATTTTTGTCACGAGGGGACACCTGGCTGGCTCAGCTGGTGGAGCGTGCGACTCTTGAGCTTGGGGGTTGTAAATTCAAGCCCCATGCTGGGTATAGAGATTACTTCAAAACAATTTTTGTCATGAATGGGTGTTTGCTAAATTTTACCATATGCTTTTTCTGCATCTATGAAGGCTATCCAGTTTCTCTTTATTTTCTTAATGAAGTGAATGACATGTTTTAAATTATGCTTATATTCTTGGAATAAATATAACCTAGTAGTGGTATACTTTTTGTCTTACACAATTCTAGATTTGTACACAAATACTTTGTATAGGATTTTTGCATCTGTATTTATAAATGACAATGTCCTGAAATTTTCCTTTTATTCCATAATGGCCTTAACTGGTTTTGTTATCAAAGACACCAGCGTCCCATTAATACAAACTAAGAGGTATTGCATTTTGGGGACGCCTGGGTTGCTCAGTCGGTTAAGCCTCCAACTTCAGCTCAGGTCATGATCTTACATTTTGTGAGTCTGAGCCTAACATCACACTCCATGCTGACAGCTCAGAGCCTGAAGCCTGCTTCAGATTCTGTGTCTCCTCTCTCTGCCCCACCCCCACTTGTGCTCTATCTCTGTCTCTCTACTAAGTTTTTAAAAATGAACTTTTCCGGGGCGCCTGGGTGGCTTAGTCGGTTAAGCGTCCGACTTTCGCTTAGGTCATGATCTCGCGGTTTGTGGGTTCGAGCCCCGCATCGGGCTCTGTGCTGGCTGCCAGCTCAGAGCCTGGAGCCTGTTTCAGTCTGTGACTCCCTCTCTCTCTGACCCTCCCCTGCTCACGCTGTCTCTCTCTCCTAGAAATAAATAAAACATTAAAAAAAATTTAAAAAAAAATAAATAAATAAATAAAAATGAACTTTTCCAGATCAATAAAATTTTCAGTATACTGGCATGGTCTTTTTATTAACATCCTTTTATTCTTTACTATCATTTAAATCTGTGCTAAGATTACATTCCCCATTTAGTTATTAATCTCTCCTCTCCTTTTCATGATCAAACTCAACAAAATATTTTTTCCCTCTTATCTCAATTATATCCTTCCTACTAATTTCTTTGAGTTTATCCTGTCTTTTTCTAATCTAAGTTGGATCCTTAGCTCATTAACGTTCATCTTTCGGGGCACCTGGATGGCTCAGTCAGTTAAGCGTCTGACTTCGGCTCAAATCATGATCTCACGGTTTGTGGGTTCGAGCCCCGTGTTGGGCTCTGTGCTGACAGCTAGCTCAGAGCCTGGAGCCTGTTTCAGATTCTGTATCTCCCTCTCTCTCTGACCCTCCTCTGCTCATGCTGTCTCTCTCTCTCTCTCTCAGAAATAAATAAAACATAAAAAAAATTAAATAAAAAAAGTTCATCTTTCTCCAAGTATGTAAGCCTAAAATTTTTTTTCCAACTACCATATTCAATGCATCCAAGTTTCATATGTAGTACTTTCATAAACACTACAAAGAATTTTTAATTTCCACTATTTTTTAACCACTGAGTTAAAAACAGGCATGCTATGTTGACTGAATTTAATGTACCAAAATGTCTCCACCATATTTAAAAGAATATTCATTGAAGGGAGCCTGGGTGGCTCAGTCAGTTAAGTGTCTAATTCTTGATTTTGGCTCTAGTCATAATCTCACAGCTCATGAGTTAGAGCACCACACTGGGCTCTGTGCTGACAGCACAGAGCTTGCTTGAGAGTCTCTCCCTGCCTCCCTCCCTCCCTCTCTGCCCCTCTCCAGCTCATGCTCTCTCTCAAAATAAATAAACTCTTTAAAAATAAATAAATAAAAGAATACTCATCGTAATCACTCCACGAGATTTAAATAAAAACGGCCCCTTTCCTATCACGAGTATTGAAAATATACCCAGAAATATATATACTCTTACTTGAACAAATACTTTGCCCAAACGATGCAATGAATAGGTTCTGAAGGTGTGTTACGAATTGTACAGCCAGGAAAAGTTCTCTGGGTAGGTTTGGGATGACACTCATAACACTCAGTTACACCCTGCAAAATCAGAATATGAGAAAAACATTCATTTCCCCATGATGGTAGTTTTTGAACATTATTGAGGAATATCATCATAAACATTCATTCATCTACATTCCAACTGGGTTTTACACTGTCAAGGAAATTTTAAAATATTAGTGACTCCAAAATTCTAACTTCACAGACGAGGAACTATAACAAATGTGAAGTGAATCATTCACACTCACAGATAAGTGTAAGCCAGGATTTCTCTGACTCCTGGCCCAGTGAGCACCACTTACAGCAAGCCAAAGAAAATTACTGCACCTGAATATCTAATACAAGTTTACCTTAACACTTACGTTCATACTAAATAAAAGAAAATTTACTAGAAAAACAAACAACAGCTTTCTAACCAATTATCTGTCAAATGTGTGGACCTCCGGTATTTAAATATTATCCACTATATTCATATTACCTTATAATCTCCTAAAAACTAAGCAAATTAAATTCTGGTACAAAATTTGGTACAAAAGGCAAATTAAATTAAGGCAAATTAAATTTTGCCTTTCGGCAAATTAAAAATAATTATTACTTTCAGGAACTACCTAGATACACAAAATTCCTGATTATTACCAAACCAAACACTCTTCGTTTTGTTGATCTAGAGTTACATTTCTTTTTTTTTTTGCATTTTATTTTTTAAAATTTTAGTTAACATATAGTGCAATTCTGGCTTCAGGAAGAATTCATTTAGGCTTACATTTTAATTTGCACCATAAGGAATCCTTGGAAAAAGTCTATGGTACATATAACAATTTTTCAAAACCATCAAGTGAATATTCCTCATTTGAGCAATTCTCAACCTCAGTCTTAACACATACTAGTATCTTAGGGTCACGTTAATAAGCAATGTCTTTCTTTCTTTTTTTTTTTTTATTTATTTCTAGGAGAGAGAGAGACAGCGTGAGCAGGGGAGGGTCAGAGAGAGAGGGAGTCACAGACTGAAACAGGCTCCAGGCTCTGAGCTGGCCGTCAGCACAGAGCCCGACGCGGGGCTCGAATCCACGAACCGCGAGATCATGACCTAAGCGAAAGTCGGACGCTTAACCGACTAAGCCACACAGGCGCCCCATAAGCAATGTCTTTCTAATAATGGTTAAAGAACCAAAACTTTAGGGGAGCCTGGGTGGCTCACTATAACTTCAGCTGAGGTCATGATCTCAGTTTCTGAGTTGGAGCCCCATATCAGGCTTTCTGCGGTCAACACAGAGCCCACATGGATCCTCTCTCTGCCCCTTCCCCACTGGCTCACACATGCACTTTCTCACTCTCTCAAAAAGGAACCTTAAAAAAAAAGAACTAAAACTGGCAAATAGTGTTTTAACACAAATGGCAGCAGACCCAGGTTTTTTTTCCGTAATACCATTTCTGGTGTCCTCTGAATAAGCTTTCTTGGGGGCAGCCATCCCTCAAATCACAGTAGAAAAAAAGAGAACTACTGCTTTGACCTATGAATAGATCCTGAAGGATTCCACTGATTCAACTAAAATTTAACACACATTGATATTTACAACAGTCTTTGTAGAATGATACTAAATAAGCTTCCAAGAGTAGTATTTATCAGCTAAAACAAATGAAGCAGAGTCACAATTTTCAACTGCCAAATAATGGACAAAAATAGCAAATTAAGCCGAGTGTAATTCCTTTCGGTTTCAAAACCTGTAAAATGATTTTTCAAATGTATCTAATTTCCTAAAAGAACTAAAAGAGAAAAGATCACAATGCTGCACTTTACAAAACTCGGTTATGAGTCCACAGGTATTTGTTTACTCTATTATTCTCTAGCTTCATATAAACATTTGAAACATTGAAATGAAACATTTGTGAAACATTCCACAAATACACCAAAAACTTTCAAAGTACTCTTCAGATCTATAAACCTAGACTTTAGATAAAAAATAACTCTGCAGAAAGCAGTTTCATCATATATCAACTACAGCATGACATGTAGTCTCAGTTACAAATAATTTTAAAAGGCAATTTTACTATGTTTACCAGTCTAATAATTTTAATATACAATCTCTGGTTATAATACTTTTTATTACTTGATATAGTAGTTTTATAAGAACACAAAAATCCCCACATGTTGGATGCTAACGAACCCATATCATGTAAATCCAAAGTTTACTTCTTCCCTCCTTAAGATGGCAAATATTTGGGAAGTAAACAAACTTATTTTACCTTTTTGATGGTAGTTACCTGCCCAAGGTAACCAGCAGTTCCACTCTCAATAAGAGGAACATCAGCTGCCAGACACATCCTATTAACATGGTTGCGAGCAGCTGGAAGAAAAACTCTAGTTAACAGGAGCTGATTGGGGGAGGGGGGAATCAGTTATCTTTAATTAGGATGACACCCAAACTAACTTTTATATGAAATTTTCTTATAGCTATGACCAGAGTAATAAAACTGTTACATGAGAGACATTTGCTAGCAAAATTCCAAACATAAGGAATTTGTATCACAAATTTACTTCAAGAAAAGCAACCCTATAAATAATTTTTAAATTCCAAAGTGTCACCTTTCTCTTCTATAGCTGTGCCAACTCTATTAATCTTGGCTAAAGTATTTTTTCAATGTGTTCTGAGTCCTTAACTTACTATTTTTCTAATAAAATTATTTGGTAATGTATGGCAATGAAAGGAGAATGTGGAATATCAACTTGGAACTATTAAGGCAGTTTAAGGAAAGGGAGTAACGAGGAGTCTAGTAAGCCATTCTGACCCTTTCTCTGCTACTGTGTCTTTTTTTGGTGTTTCTGGCTCAAAATTGTTACAAACCACTCCACAGATGTTGTTCTATATGTGGAAGAATGACTGGCTATACAATACTTAATTGTAAGAAACATCACCCCCTTCTGTGAAAAGCTTAAATGGTCTTAAATGTGTACATCTAAATAGACTCTAAGCTGGTATTTTATTTTATAGCACCAGCCATACCTAAAATAATTCAAGATCCATGGCATCTATGCTAACTTTGACACCCTGCTACCACATTCTCAAATCCATGGTTTTACAGCCCTGATTGCACTTTAGAATCACGTGGGAAACTTTGAAAAATTATGATGTTCAGTCCCTACTGAGTCTGATTTAATTGGTCTTGGTGAGATGTAGGCATGACATTTCTTAGATCTCCATGTAAATGAAGAAAGTCACGCTGTGCTTAAGTGATGGGATAGTCTGAAACAAGCACACACCCACATACCAAATGTAGTCACCCTCTTTAGCAATTTTAACAACTTCTATCTTCACACCTTTTGGTAGAATAGCGGAGTATATGATAGCTAAATTCCTGCCTGGAACCAGTTCTAGTTAAAATTACAATCAACTGGCAAACTTTAAAAAAAAATTTTTTTTAATGTCTTTATTTTGAGAGACAGAGACAGAGAGCAAGTGGGGAAGGGGCAGTGAGAGAGGGAGACACAAAATCTGAAGCAGGCTCCAGGCTCTGAGCTGTCAGCACAGGGCCCGACGCGGGGCTCAAACCCATGGACTGTGAGATCATGATCTAAGCCGAAGTTGGACACTTAACCAATTGAGTCTCCCAGGTGCCCCTCAACTGGCAAACTTTAAACCTAACCTTACTTCTCTACAGATAATACTAAAAAAGTGTAAATGGCCTTGTTATAGGGGAAGGAAAATACTTAGAAATTAAATGTATTAAAAATAATCTCACCTCTGTTATCTAAAGCATTCATAACCAATATAAACTGTCGAAAAAATTCCACATTATAGTCAGGGCTACAAAATAAAATAAAACAAATGTCACCAAATCAACTGGCCTTACACATGATATTCACAGCATAATACAGGGTCCTAAAAAGCATATTAAAGTAACAGTGCAAAAATAACTGATAGTAGGGAGGAGTCTCTATCATACAATACATTTGAGTTTTTCCAAATATCCTAAGCAGATTTTAGAGAAATTATTTCCCCCTAATCCCTGTAAGTAACTAGACATCCTTTCTGGCCAGCTACCTAGGGCTCAAGAGCAGGGTCTCAAACTGGCAGAAAGATGGCATGACTTCACAGGTTACACAGGCCCTCTCTGGGCAGCCTGGGAACATACAGAGAACACATTCCCAGGATATGCCTGGCCTCTGGCTTCACCTCACATGGTCAAGATCAGGCAGGGTTCAGGCCTCCAGGGTCTCCGCTTTTAGCAGCCCTGGGAAAGCAACACGGGATAAGGGGGGTTATAGGGCTATGGAAAAGCCTGCAGAGCAAACATCCAGAGAATTAAAAAGGTGGAGATACATATTTCCTGAGAAAGTATAAGACTTTCTCCAATTCCAGACCTCAAATGAAAAGTCATTATTTTTAATACCATTTACTTTTAAGCTACACGACAACTATATAGGATGATTGAGATCCAGGGTTTCTTTGCCCCAACACTTCCAAAGTTATACATTCATGGAGATCCGAACACATTTATGTACTGTGAACAGTATGGCCTTCACACTTCCTAGTGTTATATTATAGAAATCACAGTCCAAATAAACAAATATTTTGGGAAGCAACCTTTGAAACTGAAAAAAACCACAGATGAAATAAATCAGAATGAGAGCAATATATTTAGAAAAGTCTGGATCATCACATATAAGGATTTTCCATAGTTGTCTATATCTTTATTTAAAACAAAAATAAAGGCCCTTTGTAAGTTTCCTAGTAACTCATTTAAAGTATTAAAATATCTTATCTTTTAACTAACTCCTTGAAATCATTATATAAACTTAAACACAACTAATGATGTGAGTACAAGCTACTACATTCTAATTTTTCTAGAAAATCATTTTTTTCTTACCAAGTTTTTATTTAAATTTCAGTTAACATACAGCATAATATTAGCTATTTAATGACTCAACACTTACATACAACACCAGGTGCTCATCACAAGTGCTCTCTGATAACCACTGGTTTGTTCTTTACAGTTAAGATAGAAAAACCATTATTAAAAAGCAGAATGACTTCACGCTCATGTATCTGACTAATAAAAATACCTTATACCTTGAAAATTTAACTCACAACAAACACAATTCTGCAACATAATAATTAGAACATACTTCATGATGCTGTCATGGTAGGCTATGATATTAGCTTTAGGGTAAAACTGCAGTACACTTTCTTTGGCAACCTGGAAAAACGAAAACACTAAAATTACTAACTTAATTGCTACAACATTCCTCTCTGTAGTTCAAATTTATTTATGCCAAACAATACTGCTATTTCACCTACTTACGTATCTTATATTAAAAACTAAAAAAGTATAAAAATGTGACAAAATTTCATTAATATTAAACTATACACATATTTATAAATTCACAGGAGAGCTGGCTCTGTCCCATATACACACCTACGTGAATTTTTGCAAACTTCAACAAAAATATAAAATGCAGTAACTAGGTATTAACTTGTTCATTCATTCAACAAATATTTACTGAGCATCTTCTATGTACCAGGAATTGTATGAAGCACTTGGTAAGCCAAAGTGACTCTGGCTTCAATGTAGATAAACAATGTAGATTTTATTCAAGTAGATAAATAAAACTACAAACTATGATAAATGATACACAGAAAAAGCAGAAATTGTGGGGTGCCTGGCTGGCTCAGTTGCAAGAAAGAACATGCAACTCTTAATGTTGGGGCCCGGAGGCGCAAGCCCCACGTTGGATATAGAGATTACTTAAATATATTAAAAGAATCTTTAAAAAAAAAAAAAAAAAAGAAGTTGTGAGAGGAAGGTCTTAGTCTAAGATATTTAGAGTGTATCCCTAGAGAAGGAAGCCAAAATTTGAAAACCGAAAAGAAGAGTGGGAGTTTGCCAAAAGTGCTGGGAGAAAAGCAAAGTGAAAAGATGTTTTAAGACCTTTAGTCAAGATGGAACATTAGGGGTGTCTGGGTGGCTCAGTCGGTAAAGCTTTCAACTTCGGCTTGGGTCATGATCTCACATTCGTGGGTTTGAGCCCTGCATCAGGCTCTGTGCTGACAGCTCAGGGCTGGAGCCTGCTTCAGATTCTGGGGTCCCTCTCTCTCTGACCCTGCCCTGCTCTCTCTCTCTCTCTCTCAAAAATAAAAAAAAAAACATTAAAAAAAAAAAAAGATGGAACATTAAAGGAACTAAAGAAAGGTCAAGGTGGCTAGAACCTCAGGGACTTTGTCTTTTTCTAAAAGGGGCAAGAGCAAGGGCTGTACACTTAATCTCTTACCCCAAAATATACAGGAGCAGCCAATCTGCAGGGAACAGGGAACTAGGCTCATCCTAAGCAAACAATTAGAAATTTAAATATGAAGGGGACACCATTTACAGGATTGAGGACAGCACAGTTTCCTTAGAAGATCAAAACAGGAGGAAGTAGTCTTGAAATCCTTTACCCCACATCTTTGTTTTTTTTTAATGTTTTGTTTTTTGAGAGAGAGAGAGAGAGAGAGAGAGAGAGGGGGAGAGAGGGAGAGGGAGAGAGAGAGAGAGAGAGAGAGAGAGAGAGAGAGAGAGCGCGCGAGTGCACATTCGAGCAGGGGAGGGTCAAAGAGAGGAGACACAGAATCCAAAGCAGGCTCCTGGCTCTGAGCTGTCACTACAGAGCCTGAAGCGGGGCTCGAACCCAAGAACTGTGAGATCATGACCAGAGCTGAAGTCAGCCGCCTAACCGACTGAGCCACCCAGGCGCCCCTACCCCACATCTTTTTATTCTTCACAATCTCTCAAGTAAAAAAGACGTGGCATCCCCTATATTCTCCCTCCTACTGAAGACTCCCAATTAATCTGACATCATAAAGAGAAGATCCGTCAAAGTGCAAAAATATAAATGAGTAGATATAGTATAAGAAAAGTAAAGTTACCTGGGCCTTTGATCTTCCAACATGTTTCTTTTGAAACAAAAACTGCCTGTTGAGGTTGCTGACGTCAATAGTATCCAGATCAATCTACAAGTACATAAACTCCAGATAAATCACAAATTTTTTGGTGAGCAATATCACTATCCTCAGCATCTATAACCCAAAACTTTTGCTATCTGCTATATTAGCAGAGAAAATGACTTTCCCAGTAATACTAAAATTGCTAAACCAATAAAAATAATTTAATACATATAAAAAAATCAAGATTTAATTTCAGAGATAACTTTCTCAAAAATATTTTAGAAAGGATGCATTTTTTTTGATCATCTTGGCAAATATGTTTGGAAAGTCCTTAGATGGCATAAAATCCTATGTGTTTATTGAAAATAAACTACTCTTTCAAACCAAATAAATCAGATTTAACTGTGACCTGTTTTTCTTAAATGATACTTAACAGATTTACTGAATTTTTGCTGCTTTAGTTCAAAAGGCTTCGTCCACACACAACTCTCCATTTACGATTATTACTAAGGGCTATGAAAGGAAACGTCTACCCAAGGTTGAAAAGAGAGTTTAACTTTTATCTATTTGCTGCTTAAAAATAAACATAAGAGGAGCTCCTGGGTGGCTCAGTCAGTAGGGTGTCCGACTTTGGCTCAGGTCATCATCTCACAGTTCTTGAATTCAAGCCCCATGTCCGGCTGGCTGTTGTCAGCCGGGAGCAGGCTCTGGATCCTCTGTCCCCATCTCGCTCTGCCCCTCCCCTGCTGTTCTCCGTCTCTCAAAAACAATAAATAAAAATTTGAAAAATAAGGGTAAAAATAAGAGTGACTAAAGACTTTCTATAAGTTGATATGAAGAGTCATCAAACATTCTAATTGTGAAAACATCTTAACAGTTTTGGTTATAATTTCTGAAAATCATATTAACCACCTAAACATTTTCTATTTGTACTTTCTAAATTTATCATAACAATTAAATCAAAAAGGGGCAACTGGTGGCTCAGTCAGTTAAGGGCCCACTTTGCCTTGGGTCATGTTCTCCTAGTTTGTGAGTTCAAGCCCCAAGTCCAGCTCTGTGCAGCTTAGACAGAGCCTGGAGCCTGCTTCAGATGGTCTCTCCTCTCTCTCTGCCCCTCTCCCACTAGCACGGTCTCTCAAAAATAATAAATAAACATTAAGTTTTTTAGTTAAATCAGAGGCGCCTGGGTGGCTTAGTCGGTTAAGTGTCTGACTTTCGCTTAGGTCATGATCTCGCGGTTCATGGGTTCGCGCCCCGCGTAGGGCTCTGTGCTGACTGCCAGCTCCGAGCCTGGAGCCTGTTTCAGTCTGTGACTCCCTCTCTCTCTGACCCTCCCCTGCTCGCGCTGTCTCTCTCTCTCTCCTAGAAATAAAAAACATAAAAAAATTTTTTAGTTAAACAGAAAAATACCAGCATTTATTGTTTAGGTGGCCAATTCACTGTCTTGTCTATTACAAAATGGTTCTTTTAATTTTTAATGTTTATTTCTGAGAGAGAGGCACAGAGACACAGATGCAGTCTGAGCGGGGGAGGGGCAGACACAGAAGGAGACAAAAGCCGAAGCAGGCTCCAGGCTCTCTGCCAAGGCGGTGCTCGACCCCACGGAGTTCGAGATCATGACCTGAGCCTAAGCCGCATGCCCAACCGACTGAGCCACTCAGGCGCCCCACAAAACGGTTCTTTTAAACATGCTGCAGTAGTTACCAGCTGAGGCACAATCATATTTGATCTGTGGTACAGAACTGGATGCGAAAAATAACTTTGTAACAGCCAAAGGAAAGATGTGTAAATTCTACCCCCCCCCACTCATTTATTAATTCAGTCTGCCGGCTTTTCTTTTTTTCCATTCCGTGTTTCCATGACACTTTAAACTCACATCCAAGTTCCACGTAACATCGCCAATCTCTAAAAAGTTTACGTTAATAAAAACAATATTAAAGTCCAGCAAAAAAAAAAAAATTACAGCCAGGGTACATCAATGCAAAAGTTAAAATCCAAACCAGTATCTTCACTGATATAAGCGAGTGTACCTATGGAGGTAACAATGACAGTCACACAGACTGGACCCAGAACAGAGGAGCGCGAGCCTAAAAGGAGTCCTGCCACTTGCTTCGTGACTCAAGGTAATTTACTAAAACCCCATCTAGATCTCACTTTTCGTCTCATCTGTTTTAAAAAAAAAAAAAAAAAAAAAAGGGCGCGGGGATGAAAACGGCGTTTGCAACCTTCCGGCGGTAACGCCAATTAGATGCGTTAATGCAAAATAACTGCTCAGACAGCGCTGGTCTCCGGACAAGCGCTCGGTACGCACTGGCTGCTGTTACCGCCACCCTCTGCTCTGGACCAGTATCTCTGAGTTACGGGAGACCTCCGAACGGAACAGTCACAACATCCACGAGAGACCGAAACAATCACCTCCAGCCTCCCACTAAAGCTGGGGAACTACCCTGAAGCGGAAAGACACCAGGCCGCTTCCACAGCCTAGAGCCGCCACAAATCGGCGCTGCCAGGGAGGCAGGGGGCGGCCGCGCCGCGAGACGCCCGGAAGACCCCGGCCCGCGGCCTCTGTTGGCGTCCCGGGCTGGCCGGGCGCGCAGGGAGGCCCGCTCTGGCGCCGCCGAACAGTGCCGTCTCCGCGGGCGGCCACGACCCCGGGGTTTCCAGGCCTGCTCCCGCCACCCCCTCAGCCCCCAACTCTAGTCCCGACCTCCGGAGCCCGAGCCCCCGGCCCCGGCAACACGGCCCGCCATTCAGCCCGCGCGCACTCCTGGCCCTCACCAGGTCGATGTGGGAGAAGCCGGTGAGCACGAGGTTCTTGAGAAGCTCGCAGCCGATGCCGCCCGCTCCCACCACCAGCACCCGGCCCCCGGCCACGGCCTCGGCCAGCTCCCGGGGCAGTCCCCGCGACAGTGCCATGGCGGGACGACCACGAGCCGCGGCGGAGGCGGAGGCGCGAGAAACGAGCCGCGGCCGGAAGCAGGTGGGGGAAGGGCGGCCCAGCTTCCGTTCATGCGCACTGCGGCCGCCATTTGGCGCCGAGCGGGCGACGCCCGGGACCTGTGGAGCGCAGCGCCTGGGTCAAGGTTCGGCTTTGTGCCAAGAGACCTCTCACACCTGCAGGTGTGCTCCAGCCCGGTTGTGTTTTTCACAGACGCGCACGGAACCGCTATCCGGCTTAAGAAATCTGCGGGCCACGTTCTAGCCTGAGGTTTGAACTCCCAGCCAAGGCTTGCTTACAGGTTAAACAACAGATGCCCCCGCATGTAAGGAGTTCTTACAAATTAACCAGAAAGCAGATGTCCCTTACACAGCTAACGTAGGCCAAGAATGTGAACAGGCACTCACAAAGAAGATCAACAGTATGACCAATAAATATAATAAAATTTAATCAAAGAAATGCAAAATAGTTTTTAAATCGTTTTCACCTATTAAGCCAGAAAAAGTGAATAGGAAAACAAGCACTCCCGTTACTGTAGTTATGGATTGTAAAGCAAAGCTTTTCTAGAGGGTGTTAAAAAAATAAACAGGCATATTAAAAATTTGGTTGCAGCACCTGCTTGGCTCACTTGGTTAAGGCTGTGAGTCCATTTGGGGTCACTCAGGTCATGATCTCCTGGTGGTGGCATACAAGCCTCGTAGCCAAATCTGTGCCAAGCGTGGAGGCTGCTTGGGACACTCTCTGTCTCTCTCAAAATAAGAATTTGTTCTCTTTTTAAAGTTTATTTATTTATTAATGTTTATTCATTTTTGAAAGAGAGAAGAGGTTAAAGCACTAGCGGGAGAGGGGGACGGGGGCAGAGAGAGAGGGGAGACACAGAATCCCAAGCAGGCTCCAGGCTCTGAGCTGTCCACACAGAGCCCCACACCCGGCTGGAACCCACATACTGTGAGATTGTGACCTGAGCCAAAGTCAGATGCTTAACTGACTGAGTCACCCAGGTATGCAGTAAAGTTTATTTATTTATTTTGAGGAGAGAGAGAATGTGTGAGGAGGGGGTAGGGCAGAGAGAGAGAGAGAGAGAGAGAGAGAACGAGCTAATCCCAAGTTGACAGTGCAGAGCCTGATACGGGGCTCAAACTCATGAACCAGGAGATCATGACCTGAGCTGAAATCAAGAGTCCTGGATGTTTAACCTACTGAGCCACTCAGGCGCCCCAGTCAATGAACATTAAAAAAATTTTTTTTGCTGATGTGAGCAAAATTTGATTTGAATTGGGCAGCATGCTACCTAGCAGATAGAAAGGAGCTCTGAGGAACTGTACAAAATGAAAGATTTTTATGACTAGAAGGGAAAAGGAGCAGGGAAGTCACACCAAAGCAGGCTGGTTGTTGCAAGGTTACTTTCCTTTAGGGAATCTAACAGACCTATTACCTACCCAATGCTGATCAGGCAATTCCTTTTTTTTTTTTTTTAATTTTTTTATTTATTTCTAGGAGAGAGAGAGACAGCATGAGCAGGGGAGGGTCAGAGAAGAGAGAGAGACACAGACTCGGAAACAGGCTCCATGCTCTGAGCTTGCAGTCAGCACAGAGCCCGACGCGGGGCTCGAACCCACGAACCGCGAGATCATGACCTAAGCGAAAGTCGGACGCTTAACCGACTAAGCCACCCAGGCGCCCCTGATCAGGCAATTCCTGATTGACTGGTTTAAGATTCCATTTCTGGGAGAGCCAGAATTAAGTCTCTGCTTGGTGATATGAGGCTTAGCCTAAGCATCTCCCTTTTGGGATGGTTGTCCTTTTTTTTTTTTTTTTTAAACAAGGGTAATTTGGAAGTATGATTTTTAAAAAATCCTCACAATGTTAAATAAAAAAGAAACAAAGCCATATGTATGAATACATTTTGTAAACACAAAAATATATTTAAAAAACAGGAAGAAAACCAGAGTTAATATTTTTGTGTATCTGTGTTTCATGGAATTGTGGATAATTTTAATTTCTTCAGTCTGGAAGTTCCTGGTGAGCACTAGTCAGGTAATCTGTCTGATAAGACCCCGGTAAGGGAAGGTAACATTGCCTGAAATAATCTATTCTTCTAAATTCCTGTCCCACAGTCCTTCTGCCTATAAAAACCTTCCTATTTGAACAATTCAGAATTCTTTTCCACTTGCTAGATGGATGCTGTCAGTCTCATGAATCATTGAATAAGGCTCGTTAGATCTTCAAATTCACTCAACTGAATTTTGTTTTTTAACATGCTAAATATTGCTACAAGAGCAATCATATTACAATATATAAATATATGGAGTTAACACATGGCACACTTTATAAAAATAAATGTTTATTTTTGAGAGAGCATGAATTGGGGAGGGGCAGAGAGAGAGGAGGATGTAGGATCCGAAGCAGGCTCTGTGCTGACAGCAGACAGCCTGATGCAGGGCTCAAACCCATGAACCAGGAGCTCATGACCCAAGCTGAAGTTGGATGCCTAACCGACAGAGCAACCCAGGCACCCCATGCATCGCACACTTTAAATGTCCAGTGTTACATGCCAAATATATTCAGTAAAAAATGATCATTAGAAAAGATAAAGATAGAAAAACATAGGAAAATGCTTTTAACTTCTGTGGTCTTTCTTATCAACTGCTTGGTTCACCAACCCACACACCAAGCTGGTCTCTGAGGAATATTCAGGCTGCTGCCCTGGTACATGAGGCAGGAAGTGTCAAGTGCTCAGAGTGGGGTGCACCCCTGCACCATGGGCTGCTGACGGGGTCCTTCTCTACAAGGGGCTGGCTCTTAGGAAGACCCCACCCTGGCAGTTAAACCTAAAGGAGGCCCTCCCAGGATGCTGATCTTGTATCTCATGAATAGGAACCCCCTTCCTTGGCTTCTCTCCTGCCTCCCTGGTCTTCCCTTTGGGCTGCCTGGGCTGAGGATCCCAATTCTGAGGGCCCTTGCTTTTCTTTGTGGATTTGTGTAAGTAGAAAGTGTAAAATGCTTCCCCACCTTTAAAAAAATCCAAATTAGGACACAAGTGCAAGGAAGTGAAAGTCCTACCCATACCTGCTCCTACTCCTGAGGGCCCTTGGTGGCCTGTGGCCTTGCTTTTCTTTCTTTCTTTCTTTCTTTCTTTCTTTCTTTCTTTCTTTCTTTCTTTCTTTCTTTCTTTCTTTCTCTTTCTTTCTTTCTTTCTTTCTTTCTTTCTTTCTTTCCTTTCTTTCCTTTCTTTCCTTTCTCTCTTTCTCTCTTTCTCTCTCTCTCTCTCTCTCTCTCTCTCTTTCTTTCATTTATTTCTAGAGAGACAGAGAGACAGCGTGAGCAGAAGAGGGTCAGAGAGAGAGGGAGTCACAGACCCTGAAACAGCCTCCAGGCTCTGAGCTGGCAGTCAGCACAGAGCCCGACGTGGGGCTCGAACCCATGAATTGCGAGATCGTGACCTAAGTGAAAGTCGGACGCTTAACTGACTAAGCCACCCGGGCGCCCCTCTTTTCTTTCTTTTTCCTTCTTTCTTTCTCTTTCTTTCTTTCTTTCTTTCTTTTTTTCTTTCTTTCTTTCATTTTTTAAATGTTTATTTATTTTCTGATACAGAGACCAAGTGTGAGTGGAGGAGGGGCAGAGAGAGACGAAGACACACAACCTGAAGCAGGCTCCACGCTCTGAGCTGCAGCACAGAGCCCAACACGAGCTCGAACTCAGGAACTGTGAGATCATGACCCGAGCTGAAGTTAGATGCTTAACCAACTGAGCCCCTGAGGCGCCCCTTTTTTTTTTTAAAAGTCATGTCTGGATCTTGAATTCATGACCTGGAGATTAAGACTCACATGCTCCACCCACTGAGCCAGCCACACACTCAAGGCCTTTGTCTTAATTGATCAATGTCTCCTTGGCTCATTTGTTTGTTCTTATTTAACTAATCTCTTCCCTCAATGTGGGGCTCCTAACTCATGACCTCAAGAGTCATGTGCTCTTCTGAGCCAGCTGGATGCCCCTACAGTTTTGCATTTAAATGGGTTCACACTGGGGAGCCTGGGTGAGACACCTGAGTGGCTCAGACGTTAATGGCCCGACTTCACTTCAGGTCATGATTTCATGAGTTTGAGCCCTGCATCAGGCTCTGTGCTGACAACTCAGAGTTTGGAGCCTGCTTCGGATTCTGTGTCTCCCTTTCTCTCTGTCCATTCCCTGCTTGTGCTCGGTCTCTCTCTCTCAAAAATAAACGTTAAATAAATAAATGGGTTCACAGTGGACTTATTTTCTCATATCTTGTTTCCTTAACAATATATAACAACCTTACCCTTGTTCACTTCCTTTAACTGGTTCCGTGCACCCCCAAACATCTTTCATCTTTAGTTGAAGGTGATATTTGAGGGGCGCCTGGGTGGCTTAGTTGGTTAAGTGTCCAACTTTCGCTTAGGTCATGATCTCGCGGTTCGTGGGTTCGAGCCCCGCATCGGGCTCTGTGCTGACTGCCAGCTCAGAGCCTGGAGCCTGTTTCAGTCTGTGACTCCCTCTCTCTCTGACCCTCCCCTGCTCACGCTGTCTCTCTCTCTCTCTCCTAGAAATAAATAAAACATTAAAAAAAGAAAAAAAAAGGTGATATTTGAGGTAATGGCTTGGGCCATTTCAAGGAGTTATTCAGTTTTGCTGAGTATCTTCTATCTATATAGGAGGTACGTATATTTCTGTTTTTCTCTTGTCAATCTGTTTTTCCTTACAGTTGGCCTCAGCCAACTACCTAGAAGAGAGAAAATAATTTTTCCTCCCATGTGTCCCACTGACCAGCCACTATCCCTCGGGTACCCTGGGAGGCAGGATCAGGTGGTGTCCTGGGCAGTGACACACTGCCTGGGAGAACCTTACCTCATGAGAGTCTGGACCTCATGTATTGTTTACCAGAATAGCGAATCAAGTTGTTTATACCAGTTTCCTCATCTATGCAGACAAATAGCAAGTCTGCACACAGCTGGTGGGAGTGTTTCCATACTGCTATCAAAGGGTAGATGGATGGAAGGGGTTGGTAACATAAAACTGCAAGGAG